TACATATTCATCAATGATAAGCAGTCATTCTTCATAATAAGCAGTTGATACTGCAAAATCTATCAAATGGGTTACTATACCCCACAAAAAAGTGTAGTTTTGGAGTTAACAAAAAACATACAAAGAGCTGAAACCTTCAGAAAAATGTGTTGTTCCAGTTGTTACTCTTTTCTCTTGTATTCTTTAAAGTAAAAGAGCATATAAGTTCGATCTTGTTCCTCATTAGTTTGTCAGTAGGTCATGAAATAAATGAGATTATGTTTGATACGTTATCTTTGTTTTGATGGAAATCTCCTACCATTGCAAAATAAAAGATAAGTTCCGATTTTTATTTCGCTTTGTCATTATCAACAAATATGTAAATCTAAATGTCTCAAATAGTGTTTAAATTTATATCTGATTTCTTCTACTAATTCAATTTAAAATGTAATATCTATTTACATGTATAAAATTGGAGCGAACCACGGTATTATACCGTGGTAAATATCTAGTCCTTTAAGTTGTTCGTGACTTTGTCTTTCATGCTAAGATTAAAGGAAACATTAAACAAAAAACAGTGTGAGTAAACAAAATATTCAATACCACATGTAAACAGAAGTTAAGTGAATATTTTGCACCTTTTGCTTGTACAAAATATATTAAAGTTCCTCTTTTACACCAGTATTTTACAGTAACAGACACATACTCGTACTTAGTTAATAGTGTCTGCTGAGAACTCGGCCTCGCTTCGTCAATAGATAAATACAAATCTTCAATGGTGACAGTCTGCAATGTATACCGTGTAAATTTTGATCACCTTTAAATGTTATAAACTGTTATTCGATACATCATTACATTTTTTCGCCAAATCATACTTGTTTAGCTTAAGGTGGGAACAACTGAAAGGTTATATTTATCGTTCAAAGGCTCACAAGTCCGAGGATCTATCGATCCCTGTGCTGTTTAACCCATAAATATAAGAGAAATGCGTACCGCTAACAGGTTAACACTTATTGTAGTTCACTGAGGGCGAACCCTTTGTTAATTGATAAGTACAAAAAGATTCATCTTTCCAATTGAAAAAGGGATGTCATAATTAAATGCATGTTTTGATAGCAGATAGCAGATCGACGACTGGTTCTACCATATGGTGATTTCTATCGTTCCGCACAAGGTGTTCACTTCATTTGCTATCAATGGAAAAGGACAAGGGCAAATAAGAGTCTGGTACACAGAAAAATGTGTGGTTTAGAATACTTGTTATATGACCGTATTTTATTATCTAAAGAAATATGCAAAATTTTCAAACCAGGTGTGGTAAATACAAGAGATTATGTAAAATACTTGTTAATGACATTTCTAAAAGGGGTCAAAGTCACCAAAAGTAGAGAGAACAGAAACTAGCAAAAATCCGTTATTTTTCAACAGAATGGACCAGATTGTGTACCACGTAAAACATTATGAAACCATGGCTTTTTTTTGCGATATTTGAAAAAAAAATAGTGGTTCATGGACTTGCTGATATATAATTTAGGCAAATCGACCTTCAAATTGATTATTTCAAGCAAATTAAATGGAATATTGAAATTTTAGGACGTTCCATATCTTGATGTAATAAAATCGTCATGAAAGAAAGAGTGATATAAGAATTGTCACTTAAATCGAGCGATTTTAGGATTCAACATATTTAGAAAAATAGAGACATAACAAATTCTTATCATACCCTGTCCATTCTCTAGCTTGAAACAATGATTATTAAAGGGTCTCAAAGTTTGTGTTGCAAGACATTTCTATATCATATATGGATACAGTATACGTATACTATAAAACCATCAGCACATGAAATAAACTTTCTATTGCAAAAAGTGTACGAGAATCAACCAAAGTATAAAAAGAGTAAGGTTTGTAAGCAGCATTAGCTACTACAATATCTTTATCTATGAAATGTTAACGTTAACATCTCATCTCGAAATTTTCCCTTTTTATGACTTTTGTACACTTCATTAATAAACACTTTTCCTTAAGTAGCATTGCCCCCCTCCCCAATAAAAATATATTAACACATAACACATGGTACACAAGATTTCAACATTTGCGAAAAACTATTTCAAATGTAAAGTTTCGTAATTGTGTTAATTTCAAATTGATATTATAGATGTAAACAAAGATTTGTGACCATATGTTGACTTTACATGTAGCTTATCTCTGATTCGATATCTGTACTTGTAAGAGACATTACGATTGTGATCGACAAGTTCATCATGTACGCACAAATGTGTACTCCCGTTTTGCTTAGGTTTACATAAGCACATATGTGTATACTCCCGTTTTGCTTAGGTTTACCCAATTTCATCATGTTGGAGAACTTCTTTTTTTATATAAGTTTTACGTTTCTTTCATTCAAGTTTAATCATTTGGTGGACTGAAATAAGAATTCATTTCTCATTTAAAACGATAACTCCACGGTGTGTGTTATGTAATAAAACGCATTTAGAAAAATACGAATTGATCCAATTAGCGTTAAAAACTTCATAAATATGCTTCTTTGTATGCAATTTTGTGAAATATTATTCTTTATGGGTTTTAATATTATAATGCACTCTGTTACATGTGACCCTCCTTTGTCCATATAACATTACACCCAAAATCCCCACAAGTAGATCGCTTGTGTGGCATATTAGGAGTAGAGACATTCGAAAAACACTTATTTTATAGATGCTTAAATATAACTGTTGCTTATGGCAAGGATTTGAATTATTTAATCAATTTAATAACTATCGTGTTTTATTGTGTAAAACAACAAAAAAATCAAAATTATTTTGTCCAAATAATAATCTAAAATCGGAAAATTTCTATTTGTAATGCAATATATGTTACTATATTTCCTTCATTGCGGTATACAAAAAGCCGTTGGTTTTCAACATTTTGTCATACCCACCGGAGCCGTTTCGTCATGTTCAATACGGTTTTGTTCATTGTTCGTTTGTCTCTATTTTTTTCATATCATTGTCTGGCAATCACATCATATCTTCTTAGTCTTATAAATATTAGAACATTAACAATTTATTTGTTAAAATAACAAGACGACTTAATCATTACAGTAGTTGAGAATTGCATGGAGACAATATTTCATTATTATTCTGGTTAACTTTTCAACTCTTTAAGTGCAAATTTGCTTAACGTATATGTATCAACCTTAAAGAATTTATACTACATGCACGACGTTATCTGACACCAAATTTAGGCGAGTGAGAATCTGGTGTGGCTTTTTTTATTCATCTACATGTATATACGTTTGAAAGTATATTTTTCCTATTCTTATGAAGTTGACAGTTTGGTCACGATTTGCATTTTTGTTTGCTTTTGATTCCCCCCCCCCCTTGGGTCAGTAGAATTCACATTGCCTGTGGAAAGATTTTGTATCTGCTATTAAACTGTGTGAAGTGTAAATTACTGTTCTCTCTGAAAGCGGGATATGGGATTTCTGTATTTTGTCGAAATATTAGCATTTTGCTAGCTTTACCTGTGAAGTTGTTTAAACTTGAAGTAAAAATACAAATTAAGAAAGCGGCATGCTTAATTATCAGCTGATTGTTTATTTAAAAAGAGTACCTAACGAAGCAAACCGAATTCATTGACAATATCTGATGTATAATCTGTGAAGTGTTATCTTACAGCGATTTCAGTTTCATCGGTTACCGATACAAAATGGTACAGTTTGTTTTGTTATGTTTATGATATGGTCCTTTCGTAACCAGCAGCACTTGTTACAGTAAATCGTCGACCACTTTTAAATTAATTGAATCCAAACATTCACAGTCAATTGAAATGATGGGAAAACATCAGACTCTTTATATAGAACTCAATTACATTTTTTGTATCAAAAGCAAGGTTATGCAAATAAGTTATCATAGATACGCCAGACGCGCGTTTCGTCTACAAAAAGGCTCATCAGTGATACAAAAATCAAAAAAGATAAAAATGTCACATACGAAGTTAAAGAGCATTGAGGACCAAAATTCCGAAATATTTTGCCAAATTCTGCTAAGGTTATCTATTCCTGGGTTAGAAAATCATTATAGTATATAAAAAAATTCACGGATACTATATTGGAAGATAGTATGTAGATAAAACAATATGTTACCTGTGCATGTGTTTCATATGTATTTTATTAATCCCTTGTTTGATCATGATAACCACTGTGACCTTTTTTTTCTTGACATTTTTGGAGGGGTCAATTTTTCTGGTGTTGGTCTAACACTGACTCAATTTTTTGGTGTAAAAGTGTTCTCACATTGCCAACTGACATTTAACATAACTGATTAACCTATCAAACTAATAAATAAGGTGTCGTAAAGAAACGGGTAATTGCAGTAATCGAGTATATGTGGGTTGGTTATTCATTTCCAACATCGCATTCGCTTTTTTTTTGCTCAGCTTCCAAATGAGTTCTTGTCCTTATCGACATAGATATATTGGTTGATTGATTGGTGATTGCTTAACGCCACATCAGCGCAATAAAAGCTATACGACATATAGATATAATACGTCGAGTACCTTTAAAATCCTTATTTTCTCGCTGCATTGAAGACCCATTGGTGGCCTTCGGCTGTTGTCTGCTCTTTGGTCGGGTTGTTGTCTCTTTGGCATATTCCCCATTTCCATTCTCAATTTTATTAGTAACACAGTTCTACACTAATTCTTTTGTTTTGTGACAAAACTCCACCATTTACAATGGGCATTCATGCAAGATTCGTATAATCTTGCTTTTGTAATTTTTAAAAGTTAATATATGTCATATATATTTTGCGATATTTGTTAATTAAACTTATATAAAATATATAACCAATGGAAATTAAAACTGCCGAAAGACGAAAAAATTTCACTGAAAGGCAAATGTTGAAAAGTATTATAATGCAGAGTCCGCTACTGTATTGATAAATAGAATAAGATATCCAGATATATAACATAGTGTGAAATACGCCTCTTATAAAAATTGCTATATAGTAAAAAAAACTTACCAACGAATCCTTCTGCTAAGTCTCCTCTTTTAATCTTATTTTTAATTGATTCATCCGTAGGTCCTAAATAATTTGCTGCATAAACATTGCATAAAGTAAATACTGACAAAATTAAAACAAAGTAAAGCCCCATCTCTGCACACCACTGTTCAAGAGATCATTTCTTATCAAGTCACATGATTAAATGCTAATAAAATACTTCTTTCCGCTAGGTGTCGACAACATCGCTGGGATTTCCCTAAGAGCAAAAATAGTTTCCTTTCAATAACCGACATCTAAAATTAAAGCATATATTCAATGCTGTTAAACAGAAATAAAAAATATCAGCTGTTTTTTGTATTATGAATATTATGATAGGACAAATGAAATCGGTTTTATCTACATAAGTAAAATGCTTTATTAACTTTTTTTCATTTATATGAGCGGTATCAGAACCTCCACTTCCGGGATTGCGTGTCACAGCTGTCATAATGTAAGCATGTGTGTTTATTTTCAGTTATAAATTTATTTTAGTGATTATTATCACAGTTTATACACGACTTATAATTTATATTTGTAGGTCTAAAGTTACTTTCAAGATAATCCTGACATCGGATCCAAAACTTCCGTACAAAGTGTAAGTTTTACAATTGACCATATACGTCGAAAAAGGGGTGACGAGTTACAGTTACACTTTTTTTTGTACTTTAATTTATAGTGAGAAGAAAACACAAAGAACGCGTTTCTCCTTACAAAACCAGTGAGAAAATTGAGTTCTGAAAAGTTTTAATGAAATTCATTTTAATGTATTAAGCATTCTCTTGTATATTATAAGTTGAGTCTACCATATGTCAACTAGTCAAGGGAATAACTCTATAGGGTTATTAGAGAAAATATCATACATATGTTATTACAGATACTTTCATGAGTTGTCTACTCTATATTTCTTAAATTTTCTTAATCTGTAGTAACATATGACATGTTTGTTATTTGTTAAACATTATGTTAACAATAACATGGTTAAATAAGTCATAAATATTTAAATTTTTAGTGGGCACTTGGGAATTCTTGAAACTTTGTGCAGTAACTTAATACATAGCCTTGATAACTCATTTTCCAATAAAATTAATACATTTTTTTATCAACCATGGTAAATGAATGAGACAAGGCTTTTAAGGGATAAACTTTTAATAAAGCTGTAATAACAAGGCTTAGTTATTACAGGCATGTAACTTATTATATGAGACACTTGGGAGTTACTTGGAAGCTTGCACAGAACCTCATTACATGCTCTGATCATTATTTCTTACAATAAAATAAAATACATTATGATTAAGCATGATATACATGTATGTCTGAGCAAAGGCTTTGAAGTGATGTAGAGAAGCTGTAATAACACCCTTTAGTTATTACAGGCATATATTTTTCTGTAATATTAAACATAGGTGTACTACATTTGTATGCATGATTTTCAAACTATGAACTGTTATATCTTTCTATAGTTTAGTATACAAAAAGACAATAATAATATCAATAAAACTTGTATACAGTTTAACAATACAAAGGATGTACCCCTTTGAAACATGTAACCTGTCCTAAGTCAGGAATCTGATGTTCAGTAGTTGTCGTTTGTTGATGTGGTTCATAAGTGTTTCTCGTTTTTTATATAGATTAGACCTTTGGTTTTCCCGTTTGAATGGTTTTACACTAGTAATTTTTGGGGCCCTTTATAGCTTACTGTTCGGTGTGAGCCATGGCTCCGTGTTGAAGACCGTACTTTGACATATATTGGTTTACTTTTATAAATTTTGACTTGGATGGAGAGTTGTCTCATTGGCACTTACCACATCTTCTTATATCAACATACATATATATTATCACAGTTTTTGGATTTTTTAGTCCAAAATAACAAATGTATGTTATTTTTCTCTATTAACCCTATAGAGTTATACCCTTGACTGTCAACCTGAGACTACTATAACTCAAAGTGTTATAGTAGTCTCAGTGTCAACATATCTTCAAGCCATGCACACTTAATGTTCATAAAGGTATGTTTTGCTTTGCTTGTTTAAAAAATTCAGAGACAAATAAAAATAAGGAGATGAGGTTTGATTGCCAATGTTCAAATAAAGTGGATGTAAGCAATTATAGGCAACCGTACGGCCTTCAACAATGAGAAAAATGAGAAAAACCCATACCGTATAGTCGCCTTTAAAAGGCCCTGACATGAAAAATATGAAACAATTCAATTGAGAAAACAAACGGCCTAAATTATAACAAAACAATTAAAGAAAAACAAATATGACAGACATGAACCAACGACAACCACTGAACTACAGGCTGCTGACTTTGGACATGCACATAAAGAATGTGGCGGGGTTAAACATGTTTGTAAGCGCTCAACCCTCCCCTAACCTGGGACACACAGGCACTTGTCTCAGAATTTTTTTCCCCTATATACCTTATTAAGGTATATAGGAAATTTTTTTTATGAGACAAGTGCCTGTGCTGGGACAGTGGTGTAACAGCACAACATACCTGTAAGAACAAACTTAAAAATTAGTTGAAAAAGGCTTAACTCATCAGATCGATACAAAGCAGAAAAAACATCAAACATAAACACAGACCAGACGTGGCAGGGTATTTATCCATCCTTATTTAGGATTTAATTTGGGAATGGAGTTAAACAGAATGCTTGTCATTTTTTTTGAATAGTTGCTTCGCATCTAACATGTCTAAGCTCAATATCTTCAAACATACATGGTCTCCAGGGAAGACTCTTTGAAAATGGGGTGACCATCTATAGTGCCAAATGGCAACTTTAGAATTTCTCTGACACATTCACATTGTAAGAATGGTCTTTATAACAGCCATCCATTGCTGTTATTTCAAAGGGCCTTCAATTGGTCACATGTACATTTTTGTGTATGTATGTGCTTATTGATCAACTTTGTTTCATGCTATAGAAACTATTCTTCACACAAGAACAAAAATAAATGTGTGAAATAAATGATATTTATATTTACAGGTTAAGTGTACCTGAACAAACACCATTCACAGCAGTGTTAAAGTTTGCAGCAGAGGAGGTAAGAACAAAACATTTAATCTACTTTTGCATTGTTTTACGTATAAATGGATATATGAGTATCTCATTGAGATTGGGATGTAACAAGACACACAAATAAAAACAACCAGAAGACATCTACTTTGATCTTGAGGTCTACCGCAATTAGTCCTTCAACAATAGACAAGTGTCTACTGTAAATTTAGAAATTATTGCGATGTTTTTATCATGTTTATTATTGCGAAAAATGCGACAGGGTTATAATCGCAATAATTAAAACTCGCATTTTGAAATTTGTTATATGAATCCAAACAGGATTTTTCTGAATATCGCAAAAATTAAAATCGCATTTTATTCTAAAATGACAAAATCGCAATAATATATGCACGCAATAATTTCTGAATTTACAGTATATCATATGCCAAGCTCTGTATGACCACAAGTCTTTATTGGGTATCATTTTCTGGTAATACAACACTTTATTACATACAGCATAGGACATTATACCATTTCAAAAGGGATAAATCACCAATGCATTGTACCAAAAGACCATGCCTTTTAATTTGTTATTTTTATGCACTGTCTTCAATAGTAGGGGGCATTATGTTTCTGGTCTCTGCATGTGTTCCGTGTTTTGTCTGTTTGTCTGTCATAGAGTTTTTGGTTAAGGTAGTTTTTCAGGAAGTTGAATTCACATCAAATTGAAACTTAGTAGTTAGTACAAACTATGCATGCTATGATATGAACTTAAATTTAATGCCTTATATAACTGTTTTGAACCAAAACATGGAATATGAAAGTGTGGTCATGGCATTGTGTCATATAGACTATGTTCTTGTTAGAAACTGATTTTATCAAAAACTGATTGAGAAACAAGAATGAAAATTACATCCAATTAGATGTCTGAAGTGCATTATTTTATACATTTTTGTCACAAAATAACTCCGCAACAATTTACCTAAACATATTATGTGAGGAAGCAATTTGAATCTGTGACTACAGTAGGAACTGCTCACCCTTCTTAAGCACCTGGGTGCACCCCCCTCCCTTTATTTTTTTGTTGGTTTCTGCTACTAAATCTTTACTTTCTTGTGTACTCTTTTTGGCCATGGTATTGTCTTTTTTTTTCTTTGACTAAAGGTTTGTTTATTAGGTATCCTCTCCCTTATTTATTAAGTACATACATGTACAATAAGTTGACTTTCTAGGTTCCCTTTTTTTTAAGTACATACATGTACAATAAGCATGATAAGTTGACTTTCTAGGTTCCCTTTTGTTTTAAGTACATACATGTACAATAAGTTGGCTTTCTAGGTTCCCTTTATTTTAAGTACATACATGTACAATAAGTTGACTTTCTAGGTCCATTCAGTGTTTAGTTTATACTTATACATTATGTAGATTAATACAAAAAGACTGTTTATTCACAAAGTTTATATGGGAATAACTATTCAAGTTTGTAAATTTAAGCTGCCAATAAGCATGCTTGCTTTTAGGTCTTTCATTTCAACCTATTTGGGCATCCAGCTATCTGTCAAACACTGCAGGAGTTATTCGTTTAGGACTGGCAAGTCCAAAATAGAGAAACAACAACTGTTTTACCACTCTTTATATCAAATGTAGAAAATTTGGAAGTTAAGATGATTTTCTAGAAAAAAGTAAGAAATTCCATGGGAAAATGAAAATTATAAGCCAAAGAAACCCATGTTACACTATGGTCGACTGAAAAGAGGTAAAAAGACAAAAAAAAATCCACAAAAAAAAAACTGGCAAAGTCATTAAGATGGAAACAGAATATATATAAAAGTTTTATGTTGTTTTAAATTAATTTAACTACCTGTATCCATGCATGATCATGATGATTAAACTTATATTTTTAGTTTAAAGTGCCACCAGCAACAAGTGCCATTATCACAAATGATGGTATAGGAATAAACCCTGCTCAGAGTGCTGGTAAGGATAAACAAAAATATTATTAAGTTTTGAAATTGTGAAGTCAGTTAGAATTTACTTGCTAAAAAAGAAGAGTATCATGAGTATAGTGGAACAAATAAAAAACGGCTGTTGTTTACATGAATTTAGAGATGACAATATGTGAAAAATTAGTACTATGTTCTAGTTCCCCAGATTTAAACGAACATTAATTATTTATATAATAAAACTCAACACATGTATCAGAAATTAGCTCTCCTTGTGAGAGTAGCATACTTTTATTATCCAATGTATAATATATCTTCTCCAAAAATCAGTTTATTTTTCTTTTCAAAACACATTATGGCTCATTCTCAGTCGTTACTAAGGTATAAAAACAGTCATACATATAAGGCTCAATCACAGCCATCCAGTCAAAACATACAAATATACATCAATCTACAAAACAAGAAATACAAAACTAATATAAAGCATTATAAATAACAATTACTTTCCACATAAGAACAATAGCAATAGACTGTCTAGGCGAGGGTGGGTGTGTGTGGGGGGTGTCTTAATACAGGCAAGGCAGTTACATTGTATAAGGAGTATGCTACTCAGCATAAGGCAGAACTTCGAATAATAACATTATAAGTTACATTTAATTTATATGAAACAGCAAGCACAAGAAACACGAGCCAAAATCATACAATACATACATGACATAGAATACCTGTTTAATTTGGAGAATTATACCTGCAATGCGACAAATTTCATCCAATGGAAAACCATTGTAAACATTACAGGTATTCTAAGACATGTGTTGATGTAAACAAACACACATGTTTTACCAAAACAAATACATGTGCTTCTGTACTATTAATAAATATATCTATGGTAGATAACTTGCAAAATCAACCATTGAAGTGATAATCAAGTATTTAGTCGAAAATACAGTATGCTTGTAAATTAGTTTGAAAACATAGACGACATAATCATGTCTTGTCATTAGTACTTGTATTTGAATATTTGTTATCCAGAAGATTTTCTTTATATTTAATCCCCAGAATAGGTTCCTTTTCACAACCACCTACTAATACTATTACCTATTGCAATCTTATAAACATATGCTTTATCAATGATCCCAATTAATACATCCATCCTGAAAATCTCAAAAGATGCCTTTTTAGAACTAAAGTACAACTACAGTGATATGAAATTTATTCACAGTGCAATATTTTCTATACATGTTTGTGTACTTCATCAATATATTTAAATAGTGCTTGGCTTGTAGATTACAGATTCTCATTTAAGTCTTACCATATATTGATTTGTTTTCCCCATTTATGTACTATGGCCATGGGCATGGGTTCCTAATAATTTGTGGGGTACTAATTATCGTATATAAAGGTGACCACTTATTTAAATGTTTAACAAAATACAAATTTCATATAGACTTGTATGCTGAATTTTCAAAAACCCGGAAATCAAGTTTCCAAAAAAAAATGCATTTTTTTATGAATCCAAAAATATTGGTACCGATGGAAAAAGATTAATCCATAGATACAAAGACATAAGATAATCCTTTAATTTTCTACAGTATATAGATGGGAAAATATAGATTTAATTACACATAATAAATATCATTTTACCCATATTATTTAAACATATTGTTATTGTATATTTTGTGTTTTCAGGAAATATATTTTTAAAACATGGATCAGAGTTAAGATTAATACCTAGAGACAGAGTAGGACATTGTAACCATGGTAACAGATGCTGATATTAATCTTAGTTTAGGAATTATTTCATCAAATTCATTCATAATTCTTGTGGAAATTCAGGAGGAAAATCGGCCATTAACAGCTTTTCCATTATGAAATGCTTTCCAAGGATAGATACAACTAAAGGAAGATAACTCTGTTTGCAAGTCAAGGATACAATGTATCTGTTAGTTATCATTATAAAGAATGAATTCATTAAGTTATTGAATTGACATTTTGTATGGCATGTTTTTTCTGTATCATTTGTTTTGATAACATGCTTGTATATATTATTTATGTCAACATTTTTCAATTAAAATGAATGGTTTGGTGTATGTATTAATTCATGAGACAAAAATTACTACTCACACTTGAGACAAAGCCTAAAGTAAAGGAACAGTACTTAAAATTGCTGTTCTCCATCTAGTGTCATACCATACCAAAGCTGAATACTTTTCACACCAGAATTTACATAAATTCAAAAGTTCAACTCGCAGATTTGGTAACCAAACAATAAACATAACTATAAATAAGTTTTTTTTTGTTTTTTTTTTTTAGAAAATTAGCAAAATTATTATTTTCATATTTGAACAACTGCTGTAGAAGACCATTTAATCAGAAATAATTATAATATGAAAAGGTTTAATGCATGAAAGCAGAAAAGCATTTATAGTTCAAATTTGATCTGATGTATATGTACACAAAAATGTTACATAAAAATTATCAATAAAAGAACTCTTTACTAACAAATTTTCAGAATTTTGAATTGACTAAAATTTAATGGAATATGGGTTATTTCTCTTTATATGAAAATGAAACTAGCTTCTTGCTATAAAGTGTTGTTGACTATCAGTTTTTATTCTCTGGCTTATTCACCATTATTCTGTTTGTATCTGGATTATTAACAATCTTCTTATCCAATTTGCCTGTTTCATTGAAATGTTTCCATATTAAAAATGTATATTAAACAATTTATTATTTACCACTCAGTGACTCACCAAACCTTTATATAGTACATTTAGTTAACAATTAAAAATCTACTATTTAAATTGGAGAGGCAGTGAGGTCAAAACACAGTTTAAGAGTCAAATTTAGAATTTGTGACATGACTTAAAATATGTTTTATTTGCAATATAACTGGTCCTTTGTGTACACACATTTTATACATATAAATTATTTCATTATTTAATATGTTTAATATTTGAAAATAATATTTTTTCACAGTTGTGTCAACTACATGTATATGTTACTGTTGATTATTATTCAAGTTACAAATTGTAAATAACAAATCAGTCCTATTTACTAATAGATTGAGAAAAAACTTCATTGGATGGAAATATAGTTTCTCTTTTTTAAGAGATCTGTTTTAAAAATTCGATTTTTTTTCAATTTTCATACCTGTCGAGATTTATTGTAAATCTACAGCATGCATTTTGCATTATTTTAATATTTTCAAATATTCAGTTGTGATATATTGTACATGTTGTACATGTTAATAAATTCTTCAATAGCAATTTGTCTGTTCCAATATACAATGTAATGCCTTGAATATTGAAGATTCTAATATGATGTTCTTCAAATGCTTTGAGTACACACCCACGGTAAAATATGAATATATTGTTTGGGCTGTTCAGATCATACTCTCACGTCATATGCTTTTTTTTATGAATGAGCTACCCGACGTCATTGAACGATGATGCAAGAATATAAGCATTCTACAGGAAAATACACGATTGTGAAACTGAAAGTCATCAAAACAAGGAAACATAAACAAATGATGATAAAATGTGTTATAACCCAATTGTTTTACATATAAGTAAAATTATTTAAATTCATCTAAACCTATCAAGTAGACAACCATTAATTTATTTTTCAGTCTTGAGATGATACATGAATAGAAATTAAAGACTTCAAGGACCCTGTAATGCTCACCTTGGTACATAGGAAGCTGATCAAAGGACTTTTGTTAAAATATTCAAGTATTGTCCTTAGCCTATGAGAAGGCAGACCCCCTGAATCCTATGTCGTGTCACACCAAAATTACAAAAATAACAAACCATCATGTCACTCGTACATAATATGAAATAAATTGGATTGTGAATCAAAATATGTTCTGCAATGCCAGTTATTTTAGATATACATTCAAAGGATCTCAAAATCATAGACTTCATCAGGGGCTATCCATGCATAGTCCATGGATAAAATTACTCAGTCTCTGAAGTTTCTTATAGAAATATTGAATGTTCAATCAGCATCAAAATCTCAGTTCTTTTAATAGCCATAATATTATCATCCATGCAACATATAGTTTGTTCTTATGTTGTACTGTTACACCACTGTCCCAGTTTAGGAGGAGGGTTTGGCAACAGCAAACATGTTAAACCCCTCCACATTCTGTATGTGTCTGTCCGATGTCAGGAGCCTGTAATTCAGTGTTGTCATTTGTAGCTGTTTATTCTCTTTGATTTTTTTTTCATAAATCAGGTCATTAGTTTTCTTGTTTTAATTGTTTTACATTTGTTATTTTTGGGCCTTTTTTAGCTTACTTTGCAGTATGTGTTTTGATCATTGTTAAAGGCCGTACAGTGACCTCTAGTAGTTAACTTCTATGTCATTTGGTCTCTGGTGGAGAGTTCTCTCATTGGCAATCATACCTTATCTTCTTATTTTAAGCTCACCTGGCCCAGAGGGCCAAGTTAGCTTTTCTCATCACTTGGTATCCCGTCCGTCGTTGTCTGTTATCTTTTACAAATATCTTCTCCTCTGAAACTACTGGGTCGAATTTAACCAAACTTCGCCACAATCATCACTGGAGTATCTAGTTTAAAAATGTGTGGGATGACCCAGCCTGCCAACAAAAATTTGCCACCATGGTTTTTGTCTATCATCTTAAAAACCACTATAGATAAGAGAATATCTGACACAAACAAAAATGTTTAGAATGTTGAGATCTACCTAATGTTTATTTAAATCGAAACTGGGAGTTGCTACCCTTAAATAACGATTTTTACCAATTTTTTGCATTTTTATACGCCCGTTTACGGGACGTATTATGGTATACCGCTGTCCGTCTGTCCGTCCGTCCGTCCGTCTGTCCGTCCGTCGTCAACATGTCGGACATTTACTCAAAAACGCCAGAACTAATTTGCATAAAACTTTGGTGAATTGTTTATATCTATTGACGTGAGCTCCCTTTCGTTTTTTATAAATTTTAGATTTTAAGTTTCCGAGTTATGGGGTTTTATTCTTTAAAAAAAGGGGGATTTTCCAGTTTTCGGACAATAACTCAAGAATGCTTTCACCAACTTGCAAGAAATTGTGGTGAATTGTTTATATCTATTGACATGAGCTCCCTTTTGATTTTTATAAATTTTAGATTTTACGTTTCCCAGTTACAGGGTTTTATTCATAAAAAAAAGGGGGATTTTCCAGTTTTCAGACAAAAACTCAAAAATGCTTTCAACAGTTCATATGAAACTTTGGTGAATTGTTTATATCTATTGATGTAAGCTCCCTTTAGAATTTTTAAAATTTTACATCTTACATTTCTGAGTTAAGGGGTTTTATTGATTAAAAAAGGGGGGATTTTCCAGTTTTCGGACAATAACTCAAAAATGCTGTCAGCAATTCTCATGAAACTTTGGTGAATTGTTTATATCTATTGATGTAAGCTCCCTTTACATTTTCATAAATTTCTAGTATGACATTGAGAATTAATTGAACTTTAATTGTTTATAGTCTGACAACAGATTTACTAAGTATTGCGCAACAGCACAGTGTATTGCACAACAGCAAGAAATCTTTAATTTTTGACTACATTTATTAAGAAACCTATAATATGTCAAATATTTAATTACAATCCAAATTCAGACCTGTATCAAGCTTGAATATTGTGTCCATTTTTGCCCCAACTATTCAGGGTTGGACCTCTGCGGGCGTATCCAGCTGCGCTCAGCGAAGCAGTTTATTGCCTAATATCTTAAAAATTATAATAGATAGGTAGAAACTGAATCAGCAAAAATGATCAACAAAACAAGATCTACAATCAAGTCAATTGCAGGAAATTGTCTGAAGACTCCTTATTTGAGTTTTTGCCCTCAAATGACAATTTTTACCCATTTTTTCGGTTTTGCCTGATATCTTGAAAATTATAAAAGACAGAAACTAAACTAAGCAAAAATGATCAGCAAGACAAGATCTACATTTAAGCCAATATAAAAGGAAATTGTCCAACGACTCCTTATTAGAATTCTTGCCCTTTAATGACAATCTTTACTAATTGTTTTGCATTTCTGCTTTTATCTTTACTATAATAGATAGAAACTTTGAGCGGTTGAGGGGAAATCCTGCAGACATGCACGGTATTATAGTATGTACAGCTTTGGAGGCCTTGTAGGTTTTCAGATTGCATATCTGTGCTTGGTGGATGGATCACTGCTGAAATGTCTTACTGTACATGCATATATTGTTGAGATAAAAAATTAATTTGATATGACCACTATGGCAACAGTCTACAGAAGGACATGTCAACCTACCTAGATTTTAACTCCAAGCAGACCAATCTCTACTCACTCCTAACAATGCCTTGTGGTTTGTGTAAAAGCGGCAAATGCCAATTTGAAAGTCTGGTTTGACCTCTTGCACTTGATAATAGCCGCTATTATTTTAATCTGTAAAAAGGTTCCTCAAATGGTACATAAGACTTTGGATATGATGAAATCAATGTTACAGACAAAGATACATTTATTTGACTGAATCCTTGTGAGAAACCAATACACCAAAAAAACTGTTCTCATGTGTAACTTTTTGGGTTTATTTCCATATAAAAAGTAACATGTTTTTAATATAAAGACTCCTAAAAAACAAGTAAACCCTGTCAAAATTCACCATCAATAAAGTCTAGATGTATTCTTTTCTAGATTTCAGAAAACAGTATCAAAGACAATATAAAAAAATACTGAAGTCAACATCTTGGAAAAGACCAAGAGGGTTACACAACACATTGATACATAAATCAATGTCCTACAAGTCTTACAAAATGACTAAACATACAGCTTGTCATTTTGTTAGTGTTCTTGTGTGAAGATCCTTCTGTTGGTTGGAGTCTGTTTATCTGTGGCCAATGGGGAATCAGATTATTGAAATAAATATTTAAGAAAAGCTTCATATTAAATAAAACAGCAATATTTAGATAAAACAGTTTATTAAGATAAGTAGCAAAATACATTTCATCCAGCACCAGTTCGAATATCAATAAAAGTTTTAAAAATAACAACAAATTTAGCAGCTGAGGGCACAGAATGTGCTTAAAACATGACGAGGGACTAAATTTTTGTCAATCACATTATCATGAAAATAACAAGGGCTATAATTCTCAAATAGCAAGTTCAGACTGAAAGAAAAGCAAATATCAAATTACCACCACAATAAATTGTCATTAGAATTACACTCATGGATTGAAAAATGAAAATTGTCAGCATTTCTAAAAATATGGATTTATTCAAGGTCATTTTGAACTTTAAGGTCATCTATAGTATAAAAGTTAACAAATATCGTAGCTATAATGAAATAACTTAGCCATTTCATGATATTGTATACAAAAGAGAAAAACGCTTTAAATACTATTTCAACTTCTCAAACAAAGATTGTTTTTAAAAGATACTGTATCATTTCAACACTATTTTCTATATGGTAAAAATTACCCAAAAAAGAACCATAAAATAATATGAATCAATAAGCATTTAATCAAAATCCCAAACTTTTCAAGTAAGATCTGCCTCATCAGAATAATGCAAACTATTGAATTTTAAAGGACAAGCAATCTGCCTTCTACAGTAAAACTTAATAAACAATGGGGTTAGCAAATTCTAATTGCTATAAAATATCAAAAATATTCAACAAGCACATATATAATAACCAACAAAAATGTAACAATTTTTTTTAAGACTAGTCCTTTTCCCGTTAATATGCAATAATCCAAGAAAAATAATATATAATTTTTAATATAAATTAATAAAAATACTTTATGCTCTAAGAAATAATTCAATAATATAAAAAATAAATTATTTATAAAAATCCTTTATCCACTGTGTAATAATCTCCTTTTCCTTCAGTCTTGCTTGAGTGACATCTTTGGGATCATTTTTATTTGTACTTCTGAGATCTAAGTGATGAGCCCCATCAGGTATAACGATGGCAGTAAGTGATGCTGATAAAGACTCTGTTACTCCTCCTGATGACCAAGGGTCTAATAAACCATTACTGTGAAAGAAGAAAAATAAACTGTGGATAATTCAGTGTTCTCCCCAGGGCCTTTTAGCATCATGGTAATATGATGCTATATTGCTAGAATGTGAAGCTATCTGAAATTATTTTTTTATAAATAGTGTTATGGATGTGACGGTATAATTTCTAGAAACAAGATGATATTTCATAATTTCCTGTTTATCAAGATGATGTAAGAAATTTATGAGGAGACACTGTCCCATTCATTTATTTTGGTGGACATTCAATTTTGTGGTTTTGTCTAAGTCTGCATACCAGCCTGTAGAAGATTTGTACTTGGTTAAACATGGTTAAAACTGTACCAACCAAAATCTTAAGAATGTACCAAAAAGTTATATAACATAAAACGATGTAGGATTGATTTTTTTTTTAATTGAAGATCACAAGATTATTTTTCAAAACTTACTCCCATTCAAAATAGAATGATTAATTTCTGATATATGATTGGACATCACTCACAACTAACATGAGAATATGTTACAAAAACTATAGGTAACAAAGAATTGTGTTTCATTCATGAACAAAATTTCATACCTAAATATTATGTTTGAAGCTGTAGTTATATTTTTTCCTCCATACTGTATAATTGGCCACATTGGTCTAGGTGTAACTGACCATTGTTTTTGGCATCCTTTGGCATAATCATCATAGTCCCATTCTACAGGCTCAAACATGTCATCTTTACCATTAGAACAGGTTGGCATTACCATTTCTGTACAAGCCTAGAAAGAAATGGTGTAAAATAATAAGAAAATTGGTCTATTCCATACCATATTTCTCTAGACTTGGTCTATTCAATATCATAGTTCTCTAGACTTGGTCTATTCCATATCATACTTCTCTAGAATTGGTCTATTCCATATCATACTTCTCTAGACTTGGTCTATTCCATATCATACTTCTCTAGACTTGGTCTAATCCATAGTTTGACATATTGTATAAAAACCTGTCTATTGTTGAAATATGTATTTTGACCTCTTGGCGTCATTTGGGTTATGATTGTGTTGTTTGGTTCCTGTCTCATTTAACACTACCCACATCTCTTAATTCAAATTCAATAGTGATAGTGATCTAAAGGAAGTTAAACACATATCTATACCTGATAGTCCCATCCCATTGTTCCTAAAGCCTGTGTTGCCTCCTGGTTAATATCTAGACATGATGCCTTGCCAGTATAGTTATAGTACATATTAACTGCCTCATATACTAAATATAACAATGACGCATCTGTTGTCAATGGTTTTGATAAATAAGAACAGACTTCCTGTAAAATACAGCAGCATGTACATAGCCTTGATCAACTTATAAAAATATATAATTGTTAAAAAAAAGATTAAAATAAAGAGTTCAAAAAACTTAAACACAATAAAAATTGTGAGAATATAAAGAATATAATTCTTATATGACTTGCATATTACCAATATTGTTAGGATTAAGAATATTTTTTCTAGAGTTTCTTTAAGTGTAAACTGGGATGCTGACTCATCAAACTTATCATACAAGTCCTTTTGACTATTATTCAGTTTGTGAGTTAATCGCCTCAGTTCATATAACACATCAATAATTTATAGAAAAAATATGTTTAATCCTTTAATAATGTGACAACTCAGAAGTGAGGTATACATAAAACATACATCTTTAAATTCCACAAATACACAATAAATAAGTGATGTTTTCAAATATACTAAATCTATTAATTATTGATTCTACTACCTATCATGTGTGATTCAATTTTTCTCATCTTGAGTCAGTCAAATGCAAATTTTACAGTAGAGCTTGCCAAGTAATTTAAATATCTAAAGTAACAATGTCTGGAGTGAAGAAAAATCTTCTCTCACAAGATGTGATTATGAAATCTGTTTCTATAATTATTTTGACCACATATGTAGACAAACTTAATCATTCTTTTTCAATAAACTGAAGACAAAAAATTGTGTTCTTTCAATGTGACGTTATCGTACTTGGTTGACTTTTTGTGAGGTCATGATAGCAAAATTAGAAGAAAAACTAGAAAATTTGATCTCATAATTTAATTTTCACCAAAAAGGTCCTATGATCAATCACAGGGTTCACACCACACTTTGATTATGAAAACATTAATTAACCACTCTGTGAATATAAAAATCGGCTTAGAATTAGAGAAATTATTTCACATACATCCTGGTCTTTATAGCAATTACATGGTAAATTATTGTTTCTCACTGGAATGAATTTACAAGCACATGATTACCTTTATAGGCCAGGCAGGTAATGGTTCTAAGAAGTTAGATGGGTATGGATAATCAACCATAGCTAAATCAACCCAGGTTTCTTGTAACCATGCCTTGAATGTACCAACATCTTCTGTAGATTGCAGAGGCTTGCACAGTTTAAATGTGTCAGTAATTGTTTTTCTTCCTGTCTCTGTATAAAACACAAAACCAAATGTATAAAAAAGTTTTTGTAAATGATATAAAATGTAAAAACCAATATCATGTGAAGGAAAATGAAAAATCTTTGTATAGTGATTTTTTTTTGCTAACATCAAATGATTAGTGATGTTTATTTGTATAAAATCAGTTTTGTGATGTTTTTATCATTAAAAAAAATGTGTTGGAATCGCATCATTTAGATGTGACATTTTTTAATTCTTATACATGTTGCATTTTTTTTAATGCAGAAATTAATCCTGCAGTTGTGTTTGTTGATGAAAATGCACAAAACTATTTGAATTTACAGAATTAAAATGACTTGCTTTTGATTTTGTGTATTGTTAACTGCCATGACTGTCGCATTTAATGATTCATTTAACCAAGTTGTTTGTAGTTAATGGGTTTTTACAAGTTACTTTAGACATACTGTGGGACATTCTAATTTATGCATATATTCATAATGATCAGAGGGTTGTCTATGTTTGGTAAGAAAATCACATTACAATTATAGTCAAACCCCTAGATAGTTAAAGAATGTAATAGTGTGATTATTGTAAATTAGAAATTTTGGCAGCAGGTATATATATACATTATGATTCAAGAGTAAACTGTTACCTGTTGTCGCAGCTTTATTGATAATCATCCATGAATTCCTGATGTTTTCTGCACATGTAGGATTATGGTGTTTAAATGTATTAGTGACTGTCTTCAAAAATGCTCCACAATCTACTAAATCTGTAAACTGCCAGATAGGAGCTGATGCTGCCAAAGCCCTGTATATAAACAGATTAGTTATTGATATGTTGTACATTATATTCATTGAGAATCAGGCACTTTTGAAAATCTAAATACATGGTTAAGAACATCTAACTAAACTTTATATTTTGATACTGCACTTGTGAGACAAAAAAGGTAGTCTTTGTATCAAACTTGAGAATTTCTTCTGAAAACTAAATAATATTGTATTATTCCCTTAGCTGATGGTTTACAGTAAGTCAGAGCTCTGACATAAAAAACAAGTCTAATTTTGCTTTGGACTTATAGAGGTCTAAATTTGTATAGTTTCATGGATTGTCTCCCTTTATTCCTTAGTCAATATGTTTAGCTCTAAATAACCAAGAGTATAAAAAATGTATATAAATTTAGGAGACTATCAAAGATCTGCCATTAACACCAAATTCCCTAATGTCAAAAACCATTGTGTACAATGGGAGGTAACTCTCATTGTACCTAATTGATAATGCTTTGTACTAGATTTGCCCCCCACCCATGTTACTTCATCTAGGTTTTAGTTAACATGTGATTTCAAGCAAGAGATCATGTTCCAGCTACATTTTATTAAGTATTTGATTTTATTTTGTTTTTTTTGTTTCTTATTAACATGATTAATGTTAGTATTACCCACATCAGGGTTCAGGTGCTTCATATTGACACTTTGTTTATTGTAGATTATTGATACCATGTTTGGTATAACTATATTTAATTGCATTATTATAATACAGCACCTTTCGCCAAACACTATTAGTTGTCAATTAATATATTACAGAAGATAACTACTGATGTAGTTCCTTACTTGGGACATTTCTGCACATCTGAAACTTTACTTAGTCTAGGACCTTGATTTCTACTTAGATTATGGTACATATGTTTTTGCAAGAACCCTTTACTTAATACCAACAAGTTAAGAATAATTTCTATATCATGGGTATATTTTTATATGATCCCTGTTTGATTAAAAACTTTGTTCATTTCATTGAAAAAACACAAATATTAAACTATTCCCCTGTCATATATTTCATTGCATGTTAAATAAGGACAAATTTAACAAACAAACAAATGTTGGTTCCTAATTCAGATAAATTTAAACAACAGTAGTTTAGTAAATTAAGAAAATACAAATCAAGGTATTACAAACAGAAGCTGAGAGAATCACATGAATTTTAAAAGGAGTGAGACGGGGTACCACAACAGTAGTATGCATGCATTACCTGCCATGCAAGCCCATACTATGTAAAAATGTCACAATCAGGAAAAAGGACACAACTGGTAAAATGACAGATCAGATGACAATTCTGGGTAAGTTGCTTCATTACTGATCATTACTTGACATATAATTTGAACATTACCCTTGTACTGAGTGTGGATACTTCATCCTGAACCATGCAGACAACATTCCACCATAAGATCCACCAAAAGCAATGACTGGTACCTTCTGTCTAGGGTACCACTCTGATCTCAAATAATCAATAAATACTGCAAAATCTGCTAATGCTTGTTCTGATGTCAAATACTGAAGTTTGGTAGGGTCCTGAAATAATACATTTACCAATAAACACAAGTCATATCTAAACATTTTTCAATTTGGAACATATTGTATTTTTCATCTTGGAGCAATCCTGTGTGCTATAACCAACAGTTAAATAAACTGTAATTGATTTTCCTACGAGTCACATTCACTCATACCCTTTTAAGATGACACGCATGTTTAAAATATGTATGACATCATATCAAACCACTGACCCTTTTAAATATGATCCCTGACTCATGATATAGGGATCACTACAATCTTTTGCATCCATACATTTATTTTAAACAGTTCAGACACTGATGTATTCTGTTGATAAATTTGTTCATGTCCCAACCACTTCACTTACCAAACATTTCAAACAATATCCAACCACAACGGCCTTAAATGAGAAAAATTCGTAAGGGTTCTGCGGAACCCAGTGTCTCGCCTACTATTGCTGTTGTCTATGTTTTCATCCAACGACGACAGAATGTTGGATCGCTATGTCTCGCTTTTGTGACAAACGTCGCAGGCTCAACAAAAATGGGGAAAAAATTATGAAGCTTCTGTCTGAGTTTGGTAAAAATCCAGGATGGTTTATGAATCTAATAAATGTTTTAAAAACTTTAACTGCAGACTGTATGTAATGTTAACTGGAAGAAAAACTAAGTCGATTTATAAGTAATATATGGAAAAACAGGAAATAAATTTTTTCAAAATTTCCTTCTGTATACTAGCTTTTGATCATAAACAAGCTTATTTCCAAGTTTGGTACAAATCCAGGAATGTTTAAGAAAGTTATTAAATTTTTTAAAACTTTAACCACACAGTGAATGTAATGTTAACTGGCAGAAAAACTATGTCCATTTATAAGTAAAATACGGAAAAACAGGTTTTTTTTTTTACAAAATTTACTTCTGGATACTATCTTATGATCATAAACAAGCTTCTGTCCAAGTTTGGTAGAAATCCAGGATAGTTTAAGAAAGTAATTAAAATTTTAAAAACTTGAGCCACAGAATGAATGTTTGTGGACGCCGCCGCCGCCACCGCCGGAATATAGGATCACTATGTCTCGCTTTTGCGACAAAAGTCGCAGGCTCGACAATAAAAATGGTCTAATAAAGCAAAACTGAGTTTCAGACATATAGAATACAGCAAATGAACTTGACGAAATAGTTCACTTAGTAATAAAATTGAGAATGGAAATGGGGAATGTGTCAAAGAGACAACAACCCGACCACAGAACAGACAACAGCAGAAGGCCACCAACAGGTCTTCAATGCAGCGAGAAATTCCCGCATAATACATCTTTCAAAATAATTATATATGTATGTATATATATAATATCAAATGCTAATACAAATTTTGAAAATAAAATGATAATCCAATACACATGCCCAAGATTCTCAAATGTCTTTAAGTCTTTTCTAAATAAAAACAAGTTTAGCACACCCCCATACAGGTTTTTAAAAAAGAATACTGATATTTTTAAAGTACAAATTGATAGAATTAAAAAAAAAAATATCAGCAAAAATGATTCAAGGTAACTAAAACATAGCCAATCAGTACACAAGTAACAAGAGCAGTAAGGAATAAGTATTTTCTAATTGAAAACTCCTTCTAGCATGTCTAGGGAGAAATTGACAATCATGGATAAAGATTCATTCTGTTAACCTTTGCATTTGCTCTTTATTCAAAAGAGGAAATAACAAAATGTTTGATCGTTGTGCTGAAAAATGTGGATGACTGATATACTTCACCTTAAATGATTGATTACCATAGGGTAATGACTGTCCATAATATCTGTGTTCACCAAATATAACCATAGCTTTCAGTTCTCTGGCCAACTCCCACATGAATCCCTGTAATATTGTGTAAGTATATATCAATGCATTATGCATCTTATAACATAATTATAAATAGTATTCATTTACATAAGTAGTTTGTTTAGACATACAGTATGTTTTTACTTGGAGATAAATATATTTCATTCGGCTAAAACTCACAATTTTTCTAGACTCAACGACTTTCATGATTTAGACCTTAACATATATTATAGACACTTGTTTATTATATAAGACTGTATGGGGATCTCTTACTGTCTTTTGAGGTTTTTGTGCTAGTGGTTGGCTTTCTCTTTGACTTATACCTACATCTATTTGTTATCCATATTACTCAATTTAGAAAGATTTTGTCTATAAACTATCATTTAACATTGTTATCATAACAAGTTTTATATATGTATTCACATGATTAATGCAAGAAATGAAAATATATTTTTACTGAATGTAGACCATCTACTGAACATGATAAATTTTTTAGGCATGTGCTGATGATCTTAATATTACTACAGGCGTTTGTTTTTAACATGTTCAATTCTGTACTTAAAATCATATTGACGTTTGACATATAAATAAAAATAAATGTGGATAGTGTCCACATGTAGACACAGATGATGCCCCCGCTTGCATAGCATATAGTTATAAAGGGACATAACTGAAGAACGGTAAAAGTGACACTACCCAAATTTGAACTTGATCTAAGTTTTGTGGTAATAAGCATTGTGTGTAAGTCTCATAACATTTGGTTGAGGCTAACTTAAGTAGAGAACAGAAACTAAAAATTCAGCAATTTTTCTATTTGTAAACACGCATAACTCTAGAACGGTTGTGTATAAGTTTTATAACATTTGGTTGAGACAAACTAAAGTTAGAGAACGGAAACGAAAAATTCAGCAATTTTTATGTTTAAAAAGGGACATAACTCAAGAATGTTAAAAGTGTTCTCACCAAATTTCGTACTTAATCTGTATTATGTAGTAATAAGCATTGTGTATAAGTTTCATAACATTTGCTTGAGGCAAACTAAAGTTAGAAAACAGAAACAAAAAATTTGTACTTGATCTTAGTTTTGTGATAATGAATATTGTGTATAGGTTTCATAATGTTTGGTTGGGGCAAACTTAAGTTACAGAATGGAAACTAAAAATTTTGCAATCTTTCGATTTTTAAAGGGCATAACTGAATAATGATTAAAGTGACACTTCCCAAATTCAACTTAATCTTTGTTTTATCAGTGGAAGTCAAAATTAAACATTGCATTGTATAAAGCATTGATTGTAGTTGATTCAACTATAATCATGGACAAAGAAAGATAACTCCAATTTTAAATACTACTTGATATTTAGAAGAAAATAAAAATTTTGCAATTTTTCCATTTATAAAGGGGCATTACTCTAGAACTGTTAAAGTGACGCCACCAAAATTCAAACTTGATCTGTGTTTTGTGGTAATAAGCATTGTGTATAAGTTTCATAACATTTGGTTGAGGCAAACTCAAGTTAGAGAGCGGAAACCAACTTTGGGACGTACGGACAATCGGACGTACTGACCAACAAGGTTAAAACTTAATGCCCCCTCCGCTACAGCGGGGACATAAAAAATATTAAACCTGTATACATTTATATGTTATTTTTTAAGATGAACATATCAAACCCTGCCACATTGTTTACATGCCTGTCCCAAGTCAGGAGACTGAAATTCAGTGGTTGATGTTGGTTCATGTCTGTTATTTATGTTTTTCATAAATAGTATTGTATAAATTAGGCCTCCAGTTTTCTCTTTTGAATTGTTTTACATGTTTCATGTCAGGGCCTTTTAAAGCTGACTATACGATAATCATACCACATTTCCTTATTTTTATATTGACAAAAATCTTTCTTGTACTCACTGTGTTGTTACAAAACAAAGTAATATCTCCTTCGTTACCAGTGTAAAAGAATACTGGTCCCCCTCCCTGTGGCGGCCTAAACCCTCCATATAACAGGTATCTCTGCTCAAATTCATCATTGTTATTAAAACCAAAATGGTCTACCTGAAGAAATAAAAATAAAACATTGTATAAATGTGAAATGAAATGATTTTTTTTATGTATTAACCTTGTACATGTTATATACAATTATAGAATCTAAGATGTGTAGATACATGTATTTGCCATATACCTGAAGAACCTTTTTAACAAGGTTATCTAAGGATAGAATGTACTTGGTTTTTCTTTTTTGCTTCAAATATTTTCAAATCAAAACAATCTCATAACAGTTTCTCTCACAAGTTTGGAGATGAGTTTTTCTTAGCAATAGGAATATAATTTTTAATTTAGATGGTATTTTGTTTATGCTCAGCCATAATCTTCTATTGTTAATATAGACATGGTATATAATGTGAGTTCAGAGAAAATTTTGGAAGGGTATTGAATAATTGTTTGTTGTGTAATATCAATAAAGCTACTTTCCAAAGGATTATAAGAAGTTAGTTTTATAAATAAACAAATTTAACTTTCTCTCAGTAATGTTCAGTGATGGATATTGATAATCCTAGTAAACTGTGATGTAAAAATAATGGTTAGAGATAAACGTTTAGCCCTATATCGACCCTTGATATACATGATATAGTTACTTACATATTACTTGGTAAATAACTTACATGTAGTATACATGTCACATCTTAAAATGAACCAATTGAGAAGCTGAAAAGAATATTTTATTCTAATATGTATTCTAATTCTTTCGCTTTGGAAACAAAGCCATGTTGTAATTCTATTAGAACATGGGTTGCACGTGATTGACATTACAATTGACATAGAATTTTCCATTAAAATCAAAATAATTGTATCATGCCATGTTTTATGCTCATGAATCATGATGCTCATTTTAAAATGGGTAGGTGTTATAATTGTCATCATCTTATCCTTGCTAATGTTTAATGTAAAGATAGTGACAAAAGGCACAAATCAAAAATCAATTTTTTTTTATTAAAGAGGCAAAATAGCGAATTTTTATCATCTTCTTGTATTTCAGAAATTTTATAATAATACAAGCAAAAAACCTTGAAAACAATATGGCTGATACAATACTGTAAATTCAGAAATTATTACATGCATTTGTTATTGCAATTTTGACATGACAAACCTAAATCTGAGAATAATTATTGCCATTCCAAGGAAAGATGCATACAAATACATGTATAAAATTGAGAATGGAAATGGGGAATATGTCAAAGAGACAACAACCCGACCAAAGAGTAGACAACAGCCGAAGGCCACCAATGGGTCTTCAATGCAGCGAGAAAATCCTGCACCCGGAGGTGGTCCTCAGCTGGCCCCTAAATAAAATTGTGTACTAGTTTAGTGATAATGGACGTCATACTAAACTTCAAAACATATAAATGAACTAAAATTAAAAAACATACAAGACTAACAATGGCCAGAGGATCCTGACTTCGGACAGGTGCAAAAATGCGGCGGGGTTAAACATGTTTTGTGAGATCTCAACCCTCCCCTATACCTCTAGCCAATGTAGAATAAAGAAACATACATGTATGTGTCACATTTCAGAATGCAAGTTCTTATTATTGTGATACCCACCCAGTCATGCCAGTTGCATTATTTGCAATAATTTCTGAAGTATTCAAAAGGTAGATATGAACTCTATCTAAATAATTATGTCTGTCATATTGTTATACAAGAAACTTGCATACAAGACACAACAGATGTATGCCTGAAGTTAAATTGTACTTTTGAGTAAAAGTGACATATCTCATAATAAAAGTCTGCCATGTCTGTATTATCAATATAAACCATATAAATTCAAGTTATCCAATTATGCATCTATTAGTTGTCAGGGTTTTAAGGAGTTTTCTTAAGTTTTTTTACCACCCCTTTTCCACTTGCTGTAACACCCCCAAATTATGCTGAACTTTAACAAATGATTCTGGTTGGGTCTTTTTTCTGCTAAAAGCTTTATGTTTATGTTTTCGATACATTCAAATGATAGAAAGAACTCTGTTACCGTCTTCACAATAAACTTTTGAATATACAGGCCCAAAGCTGAATTTTATGAAAATTTTAGTTTAACATGTTTAATAGATTGTATTGGCTTATAGATATGATTTTTAGGGGTCGCCCCAATATTCCGACACCCCACTAGTCTGACGCCCCATTGGTCCGACACCCCATTAGTCCAACAAATGAAGGTGCATTACTGCTGTAATAGAAACTCTATTCATAGAATTGTTGTTGGCGTGTTATTTGAACTACTCTTTCTTTTATATGTATGTCAAAGAAACCAAAACAGGGGATACCATACTACCCAATCTAATTAAATTCATATTTATATTAACTCTTGTGCTCGTATATATAAGCTCATATGAGGATAACGAAATCAAAGATCTATATTTTAATTAGATTGCCGTACCACCCATCTCAGGGCCATCTGGTATCTAAGAAATACCATGACCAATTGCATCTATCAAGAACCTTGCAAGTTTTGGTAATATAATCATGATAATACATGGTGTGTTCTATGGGAAAATACACTCCACTAAAAAGAAAATGTAAAGAACAATCCTTAGTAGTGCAGTCTGTCATCGTTCACGTAATTTAGCCTCGGAAATTGTCATTAACGAAAAAGTATTGTTTTACAATGCGAAAGGAATATTTTTTCGAAGAATGATGATTTCTGTTCATCTACACTGTACACAAACTTATACAATGTTATAGATCGAAAACTTTCAAAACACAAAAAAAAAAATATCCATCATACACAAATTGCCATGGGAATATACTTTTCACATCAGTGATTATATTTGTAATTTCATATATTCTTAAAACAAACTCTTTTTCTGTACATTGTTATTTCCATTCGTGTTTTATTTTTCCTCTTTAAAAACTAATCGATTGTCTTTTATATATATATGCATATAGGTAATTTTTTGCAGATACAAGTGTCTCTGGATCTATAGCCTTTTACATGTACTTTGACATTACAACATATTTTTTGTGAGAAGACATTCCGGTCTTAAATTTCTTGCATATTCATTGTGCATATATCAAAATAAAATTTCTTTAAATTTGCCTTAGTGCCCTAATTACAAAAGAATTAGCCTTTTCTTCATATTGCTACTCAAAGACAACAACATCGTAGATTACTGCAAGGAAAATCTTTATTACGGTCTACATGTTTCGCCACTTACGGTGGCGTCTTCAGGACAATTTAAACATAGAAAACAAATACTGAAGTACATAAAATGCGGTGCATATGGGGTTACAAAGGTTAACAAGACGTAACGTCACAATTGATTTGACAACTTTAAAATGAAAGTGAAAGTAAAAGTTAATAATGCATTGTCAGTGTCTTTTCCAAAATGGACAACACCTCACAGGACATTCCGTACCATTCCAAAAGGCTTCACTCGGAAAGAGGTACTACTTCCAATTGCGTCGGGAATGTTGTAAGATGTATGGTAGTCGCACATGTAGGGCATGGTGGAAGTTGTGGTGAATTGGTTACATTTTGCGGTTGTGGTACACTGTCCATGTTGCAAGTTTATTTCAACAATAATCGTGCGGTTCTGCGGTTCAGTACGTTTTGCGGTGGTCTTCTTTTGATCTTGAGTGGTAGCAGTTCATTTGTTGACTTTCTAGAATAATTCGGCAATCTCGGAAGGGGTCGATATTGTCAATGCGGTGTGGTTGTCAAATACAACGCGGGTTTGGCAAAGGTGGATCGTCTAGATGCAGGGGTTCACAAAAAATAATAGGTTGCATCGAGTGAACCAACACCTTCTAACGGTACAGGCTGGTAGAGAGTAATCAGGATGGATACCCGGAGGTATGCTGCGGTTGTCTTAAAACCTCAGGAAAATAATGCTACTCAAAGACAACAACATCGTAGATTACTGCAAGGAAAATCTTTATTATGGTCTACATGTTTCGCCACTTACGGTGGCGTCTTCAGGACAATTTAAACATAGAAAACAAATACTGAAGTACATAAAATGCGGTGCATATGGGGTTACAAAGGTTAACAAGACGTAACGTCACAATTGATTTGACAACTTTAAAATAAAAGTGAAAGTAAAAGTTAATAATGCATTGTCAGTGTCTTTTCCAAAATGGACAACACCTCACAGGACATTCCGTACCATTCCAAAAGGCTTCACTCGGAAAGAGGTACTACTTCCAATTGCGTGCGTTCATATTGTTTAATTTTTCTATTAGTTGTTTTCTAAACTTGTCTGCTCTAGCTTCAGAAATATGGCATACTGACATGTTCAAATGACATATACAGTCACTAGAAAAACACATAGATGTTGGTCCGATAGGATCAGAAGTGGTTTAGTGCATAGCAACATACGGATTTCATACAAAACTCCATAACCATCTAATCTCCCCATTTGTTAGATATCTAGAAAATGATGAAATTACAAGTATTAATTTAATTACCTACTTTAATTGTTCTTTTCATCATTAATATTTACCAGCTCGTATACTGTTTTTGTGAACTCATATACATGTAGTCAAAACAGATTCCTTATGGAGAACTCGTCAACTTTACAGAGTTCTATTTGGAAGGCATTAGAGCTAGCCTTAACTTTCTTAATTAATTTTCTGCTTTGGGAGAGATACATAGATACGAATCTGCATGCAAGTATTTTGACAAAACTTCACAAATTATATTCTAGTTTGACAAAATGTTTACTGTAGTTAAGATATTAATAGTACTCGTTTTTAATCACAGAAGACAACCAGGTCCTAGTCTCGATCATTCTATTGGTGAATATTTCCGAATATTTTAACAAATACATGTCTACCAACCTACCCTTATAACTTGGACCAGTCGATGGACAAGGCATTCGGTTCTAAACACAATTCTAATATGAAATAAACACGTCATCAGGCTTTCTAATATAAAAAGATATTACTACTGTTCAATTATTCTGTGTCGGACCAATGGGGTGTCGGACTAATGGGGTGTCGACCAATGGGATGTTGGACTAATGGGGTGTCAGAATATCGGGGCTGCCCCGATTTTTACAGCCCTGACAGCATTTTTACAAGCCTGGATTTGTGGTACTTTGGTTGAGTGCCGAGACTGATGTTGGGCTCTATCACCTATTAGACGAAGAAACTGGGTCTAAATTTTATTCCAAACGGTTTCGCCTTTCGGTTGTCGCAGTGCCAGTGTCACTTTGTCTTTGAAATTGCAACTAGCACTTTACCTTTTGTTTGAAGTAAAACGTTTTATAAAAGTATCCACTGTTGCTGTTGTTGCTTTTTAAATAACTATTTTTCATATGTGGGAATCTAAAACCCTCATTTTCTGTGAAAACCACACAAAAACTCAGAAAAAGCAAAATCAATTTTGCCGGCATTTTCTTATCATGTGATAAATGTATCATGTGACATACAACGAATATAAAAGTTGAACTGAATACGAGTAACGCATGCACAATTCCGCAGTTGTTAAATTATAAATAAATCAAATCAAATCAAATAATTTTATTGGTGTAAATTCCAATACAGGAATGATACCAGCTGACATTTACAAAATACAAATACAAAAACAGACAAAAATAAACAAAAAAAACCAAATATACAGAGATATGTTTTCTCAATGATAAGAGACACATATTTTATATCTACATTGCGTGGAGGTGTTATTCATACTATATTATCACTTCAAGCTATTACCATAAGCTTTAATACTACAACAGTTCTTAACAACATTATGTTTGCTTTAAATGAATGTTCTAATCATACATATCGCTTATTCCAGCTACATATACAGTGCAAATGTCAGTATCATTACTTTTCAAAATGAAACTAAATTTATCTTGTCACTCAGACATATTAACAAAAGATGGACTATATCACTTAAATTACAAAAGAGTATATTTCTATTAAATTCTAACGCTTTACATTTAATGAGGAAATGGAATTCATCTTCAATTCCATCCTTGCAAAGTGGACAAATTCTCTGTTCTAAAGGTGTTCTAGTATATCTACCAACATCTATTAGTAATTTGCTATTACTAATTCTAATTTTTACCATTTTAGAAATAACATTTTTGTTAAGGTCCAGTATGAGATATTTTTCTAATTCGTAATTATTTTTAACTTTGCGATACGTTCTTAGTTTATTACCATGACTATCTTTATTAGAGTCACAAAAAAAAGCTTGTTTCCAGGATTTTATGAATTCCTCCTCTAATTTTTTTTGAACTGAAAAAGGTAATTTTGTCCTTGACATAGTATTTTGATTTTCCCAAACATGCTGAAAACCAAGTTTACCTAATAACACTTTTATTTTACTACAAAAACCATTAGACATGTTTAAGTTTTCACTGTATGCTTTCTTTACCATACTCTCGCTATTCATATTAATGATATGAATCCAGAAATTAATTGTATTTTTAAGGGCTGTCAATGAAAGTGGGAATAAACCTAATTCAGCAAGTACAGCATTATTCACAGCATCTTTATTTACACCCACCAATAAAAATTTAGCAAATTTGATTTGAATCTTATTTGGACTAATTTAAAGTTTGCATAGTTTGACTCGATGGTAGTATTTTGTTTCACTAAACTAACAGTAGCCCAAACTTCACTGCTATATAATAAAATAGGTTTAACACATGAATCAAAAAGCTTTAAATGTGGTAGTAAATTCATCTTTTCAGAATATAATAATTTTCTAATACAAAAATAGCTTTGCTAGCCTTTTTAGATAACTGATCAATTGCTGTACTAAAAGATCTAGATGGTTTAAAAATTATACCTAGATACTTGTATTCATCAGTCAGCTCTAGTAGTTTTCCATTATAATAGAAATTGTGTTTTTTAATAATTTTTCCTGATTTATTGAATATTATAATCTTTGTTTTATTAAGATTAACAGATAGATTCCATTTATCACAAAACATATTTAATTAATCTAAAGCATTTTGCAGGCCAGATGCAGATTCTGATATTACTACTAAATCGTCTGCATAAAGAAGACAAGACACTTGTTTACATGTATCATCTAGGCATGCTGGATCACATTTGTGGTCAAACGTTTCAACCAGTTCATTTATATACAATGAAAATAATGTAGGGCTTAATATACAACCCTGTTTTAATCCTACACACGAGGGAAATGTTTGTGTTAGTCCCTATTTTAATTTTACAGAGAAAGAGACATCTTTGTACATATCTTTTAAAATATTAAAAAAAGACCCTTTTATATTATATTTTAGTAACTTATGAAAAAGGCCATCCCTATTGATTGTGTCAAACGCTTTTCTTAGATCTACAAAACAAGTGTATATCTAAATAAGATAGATAAGATAATTTTAATAAAATCGATATATGCACAAACAAAGATATAAAACACGTGCTCTTTGAAAGAGCTTTTTTCGTCAATAAAACATAAACATCAATAAAAGAATTGCATGAAAAGTAAGTAGCAGAAATTAGATTAGGAGTACAGGCACTTTTCTCTCGGAAACAAATACATATAATACACAGGCACTTGTTTCAAACAAGTGCCAGTGCTATAATAAGGTATATAGGTATTTTTTCGGGGACAACTGCCTGTGACTGGAAGGCATATTTTCAGGGGATATGTTTGACAATTATATGGGTTGGATGAAACATCATCGGAATAGCTCAGTTTCCTACTGAGCAACTGGCATATAAAACCAGCAGTATATGACAAAAAAGACCGTTCTACATAAGCTACAACGGGTTTTGGTCTCATTATAACATTCCACAATATTACTATAATGTCTGCAAGATAATCCTGAATATTATTCGGTATGCCGCGCCGGATTTGATGCAATTTAAGCATCAAGGCCTTAAATTTTGTTCTTGCTATTGTGTTTATGTACAGATAATGTATCTAAGAAGTTATTCATAAATTATTATCATCGGTTTGGCAAAATTTTGTGTTTGAGTTCGGTATAAAAGGCATATCATACCTCAGCTAACACCGACTAGACGAATACTTAAAACATTTGGTATTTGCAGCTCTCCTGCTACAAGTTTACAACTGGTTTATAATAACATTAACATACACTTTAGAACCTACAATATATCGATATAAAGTATGCATGACAGATATATCTGGAATAAATCCGACATCAGGTGCTAATCACACTACATTGTTGCACATCAATTAATTTAAAAGCCAAAATTTGTACAAGTCCAAGGAGCATTTAAAACAAAACAAAAAAACAAACAAAAAGTTTTAATCAGAATAAAGAGCAATCTGAAGTCATCTTTGCCTGAGAGAGTTAAATGTATACAATCTTTGTGACATGTTCGCTGGTTTCATCATAGTTGTCAATGTTTTGTAGACACAATGACGGCTTAGATGATTCCTTGCTACTTTTAATAAACGACAAATAAGCTCTATTTCAATAGTATGTACTGTACACTATGTTTTACTTGAGATGAACCTTTAAGAACCAAATTATGTCTTCTGTGTTTTTGCAACACTTTTTGTACAGGATGAATCATAATGACTCTTCATATTTAAAGAGTTGGTGTACTGTTATAAGCACTCGTCCTAGCTATTCGTTTTATTATTTAATTCACATACAAATCTACATGTATACAATGCTAGAATATAATGTCTACCTTTTTGTATCTACCTTAATTTGAATTCCGCTGTCTGTTATTTGGTAGGCTTTAGCAAATAGAAGACTTAAGAAAGGATATATGGGGTATCCATTCATGACGAAAAATCAGTGCATGTACAGCAAAAAGCACAAAAAGCACAGGAACAGTGCTTTTATTGCGATTTCTTCATCGCAAAGTCACATTGGGGCATTGAACATGGAGCAATAACATCATCATCAGTTCGCATTACTGCAAGTTCAAGACGGCCTTTCATGACGGCATTAGTACTAGTATTGTCAATGTAGCATTTTTTATACGGTACATGAACAATCTGTTTAGATAGGCACCAAAAGAGTCTTTTGTAAAGAATTCAATATATTACAAAATATATCTGCTTTAAATGAATTATTATTCATTCATTTTTTTTATAATTCATTAATACAGTGTATGCATCCAATTACTATTTTACTTTGATGTATGCCTCATGTGAACCCCCACGATCGAACAATAGCATTGTTATCATCCTATATTTTACATCATACATCCATTTTGAGCACCCAGTAATGTATAATTACAAAGTGTGCCATCAAACAATTGCATTTTAAGATATCTTAAACTTAGAAGCTATACTTTGTGAATATTGATTAGACTGATTAAGCAGTATTTACTTATACCTGTTTTACTTCAAAATTTAAATGATGAATAAATTGGTCTTTAATTGAATATTAAAAAGGAATTCTTAATGCACTTTACATATTAACATGATAAAATATACGTCAGGCCAGACAACTCTAATGATTAATTGTGTTATATGCATTGTCTATATGTTGCTAGTAGACTAGTACATTTCAGATTTTTACTCTAACTTATAAATAATAACGATAATCTATTTATCTTATACTATCGTAACAACCAATCATTCTTGAATCTATATCAATTGTTTCTATCCTTTTTTGCAGTGATTATTTTTTGTATTACACATGAGTATTAGCAAGTGGAACTTTGATGTCATATACATACGTAAATGAGACGAAGACTGTTGTTTATCTATTCGTTGTTTTCTTTTTGGTCATGGTATCGTCTGGTTTTCTTTGATTCATGATTGTTTTTATCTTCTGTCTTAATTTTGTTTTCCTTCTTAAAATCGTTCGGAGCCTCTTCGGATAAAGCATATGTTAATATGTTCCTTTGGGGGGTAGTATTCTTCCCAGTCACGATTTCTATACACTATACACACACCACTTTTACATAGTAATATCGAACAGAAATGTTTGGTATATATGTACATTTGTATAATGAAATAGTCTTTTGATAAAACACAATTGGAATATATCTTTTGTATTCGTTATTATATCTTTTCTTTTAATAGTGAATTGAAACGGGAAATGTGTCAAAGAGATAATAACCCGACCAAAGAGCACAAGGCCACCAATGGGTCTTCAACGCAGCCAGAAAATCCCGCACCCGGAGGCGTGCATCAGCTGACCCCTAAACAATAATGCATACTAATACAGCGAAATGGACGCCACACTAAACTCCGAAACATACAAATGAACCAAAATATAAAAAAAAACACACACAAGACTAACAAAGGCTAGATATTTTTGACTTGGGACAGGCGCAAAAATGCGGCGGGGTTAACCATGTTTTGTGAGATTTCAACCCTCCCCCTATACCTCTAGCCAATGTGGAATAAACAAACACACAGCAAATGTTTTCTTACACTCAATACACTAATTTGACGATACTATATTTTTGTTCGATAATACATTTGTTCATAAAAATAAGAAGATGTGGTATTATTGCCAAACAGACAACTCTCCACCAGAAACCAAGAGATGTAGAAGCATATGTTAATAATTATAGATCACCCTACGGCCTTCAACAATTAGCAAAACCCATACCGTATAGTCAGCTATAAAAAGCCCCGAAATAAAAAATGTAATACAATTCAAACAAGAATACTAACAGCCTGATTTATGTACAAAACAATAAATGAAAAACAAACATGATATACAGCAACAAACGACAACCACCACCGAATTACAGGCTCCTGACTTTGGACAGACATGACTCGTTTTGGAGATAACTGTATATAAGACTACCGTCTAGTGATTGGTTTTCCAGCGGGAATTATCTGTGCGATTCATCTACAGTAAAAATAACTGCTTAATTCACAGTTTATTGTTAAATTGTTAAATAACATTAAGACCCATTGACACACCTCTTGATAAATATATTTGTATAGTACCTGCAGATCGGTAGACGGCATATTATATGTAAACAATCCATATTTGTTTTAAATAAACAAATTGAAAAATCAACCCACAACATATCCTTACTAAAGTGATCGTTAATTGTCTTTGTTCAACCTCAATACTAAAATTTCTCCGAATGGTAATCTTTAAACCAACATTCATGGCAAACCGGACGACGTTTTTTCCTACTGCTGATTTCCATTTCTTGAAGGCGATTTTCAAATGGGTCGATATATGCGCGTGTTTACAATGACATCTCAGATTTTAATGCACGTATAATTTTGACCACTGTACAAATAGGTTATCATAAATTGACCGGCAAATCTTTTACTAAATACTACCATAAATAGGCGTATACATATGATATCATAACTATTTATTATAAAAGAATAATTTCCCTTTTAAGATTTCATAGAAAAGGTTATTTCACACTTTTGTATGGCAGTATCATTTATAAAGTAAACAATTGATAAAGGTATTAATTATACTGCTATTAAATCTCTGCTACATGTATTGAGGTAATGGTATCAAAGTGCTTATTTATGGCTTGGACACAAGACTTGAATGCTTCTTTGTTTTCCTGCATTGAAATTATTTTTGGTCACAAATGTACTTCAAATCATACATGTACACAAGAAAACTGTAAAAGGAACCTTCTTGATGATTATTCCGTTTCAAGTACACAGAGATATATGTTTGCATTTGGTCTGCTGTTGAAATTATCCTGATTAAATATTTGAATTGTTAAAAATATCAATATTCTCGATTTTATATTTTGGTTTCCATGTAGTCCATGAAGTGCTGCACTTTTATTTTTATGATAGCAATAACGTGTATTTATAGTAAACAAAACCCTCATGTTGAAGATGTTCACTGTTTCATACAAAGATTAATGATAAGTTCATTTAAACTTTCAAAAAGGTCAGCGATGAATAAAAATTATATGATATGAGTATAAATTTATATATACGTAGCTTTTACAAGACATAGATCTTATGTTATGAGCCCTTCTAGCTTGTGCGCTTTATGGTTATTACGAAGCATTAGCAAACGAAAACAATTTATGGCAATGTAATTTTATATATTGAATAAACCATGCTAATAAAATCTTGATACTAAACAATAAGATATCAAATTGTTTCAAAAAAATGAAATTGAAGTAAAGAGAAAGTTAAAATAACGTTCTTTTTTTCTCTAGATTTCCATTTCTTAGTATCTGAATCTGGATATTTTAATCTGTATTGAACATCTATAGTTCATCGCGATTAAACAGCATCATTCCATTCGTTTTGTAAGCCGTCCTGCAAAAGCTTTTTATATTCAATATTGTGATTTATAATTATCACCTTCTTCTCAATTAAATATATTTTTGTGAATATAAAGCGTCTACAATTATGATGGTTCACACAGCGTAATAATATATTTTCCTTATCTACTGTAGAATACGATATTGGAACACATTATTTGTGGTCTTATAAAAATCATATTAAATAAATTCCTAATGATAAAAGATAATTTGACTAAATCAACACATCATTGTTATATTGGTGACTGCTCATGCTGATAAAAAATGTTCACATGTCAATAAAACGGATTACACAAAGTTTTTTTTTTAATTTCATTTGAATTCAGTAAACATGGTAAACCGAGTCTAAAATCATATCACATAATATACCGGGAATAGTAACACTTTCTGATTATATTAAAACAATTCATAAAAATCATCGACAACCTCAGATTCCCTACTGTTCTAGGTTATCACCTGTATCCCATGCAGTGTTTAACTAGTCAGAGTTTGCATTACTCAATGCTGTACAACGTATCTAGTGATCAGCAGACATACTTTCTTGCTTGTCCGTAAATTTGTTTCGTATACTAGTAGTATGGAGTAGCATTCTTGTATTTTCCTCTGCATTGAGGTATTGAACCCCTTTTAATAAAATGAATTGGCTATTTCCTACCTGTTAATTATGTATATCTTTTACTTTCTTTGCCCTAAGGCATATACTTTGTGCAGTTCTACAGACAATTCCAGAATTTAAGTACAAAATGTTGGAATCTACGACAGAGTTCTATAACATTATACTAACACGAATCCTCAATAAACTAAAAGACCCCCCCCCCCCCCACCGGTCCTAATGGTGCGAGGAGGAATAGATGAAATTCAATAAAGTTGTTACGAATTAATTTAAAAGAAACTGGTAGCTTTGAACATTGTACTTATGTAAAAACCTTCGCTCAGAAAACAAAAAAATGAAGAAAAATATTCATAATCATTATGAATATTCCAGATCTTCATAAAAGAAAAATACTGAACAATCTTTTCTAATGGAATGTTATATAAATATTGGCTTGATGTGATTATCGACAGGAAAGTGTAAAACCTACAGGGCTGTTTAAAATTCAATAGATTACCACAAACACAATGTTTTAAGTCTACTTTAAATGATGGTGTATTGATCACAGGATGCAAATAACATTCTATGTGTAATATGCCGAGACAATTTAAATAAAACCAGGCGGATCATTCGTAGCCAAAGAAACTAGTATTTTTAAAAATGTTGTAAAAGTGGATATTTTAATGGAAGCAGCATCAAGGTTAGTTTTGATTTGATTGTTTTTATAACCTTCAAAGATCAAATTATTAATTTTGAAAGGAAATACTATTCTATTTTAAATATTGACTCTTGTTTACATGTTGTTTGAATTGTATACCTTAATGGTGTTTATATATTCATTAATAGATTTAATCATTGACAATCATCCCACATCTCATTTTGTGTAAATAATTATAATTTTCAACTCTTAAGTTAAGGAAAAAAATGATGAGCCAAAATAAATGCAGGAGAAATTTAAATTAAGACGACAACCCACAACACAAAAAAAAATATCTTTAAGTGACCAGTGAGTGCCATCAACGATAGTCATGCGCCAAAAACATACGAATGGTTGTGTGTGAGTGTGTGTTATCAACTTTTTCATGAAAAACATAAAGGGGGGGGGGGGGGTATTATCCTTAATACTAAATTTGTCCAACCTCCTCAATCAGCGAAATTAAGCTAAATATATCATTACAATAGAAACACTAAGTCTTATAGTAAGAGGACAGCTCACTGTGTTGATAGATATAAGAAGATGTGGTATGAGTGCCAATGAGACAACTCTCCACCCAAGTCACAATTTGTAAAAGTTAAACCATTATAGGTCAAAGTACGGCCTTCAACACGGAGCCTTGGCTCACACCGAACAGAAAGCTAAAAGGCCTTAAGCACTTAATCTGACAATAGAGTTGTGCTTTCGTTCATTTCATCATGTTCTGTTATATTGCCTTGATAAAGATCTTTCTTGAAAAATAGTCGTATGTAAGGTGTTTGTACATTTTATTTCCAATAGTAAATAGATATGTCATATATGAGCATTGTTCGAGTTAATATATTTCTTACATCATGTATACCTCTAGTCAATGCAATTTATCTTTGCAATGGAAGTGATGATTTGTTTGGTACTTGTTCGTTGTATTTCTATTAATTTGATTTTTGTTTTAGTGTTATAACTATTATTGTGATGAAAATTGGCACCAATTATCCACGGGTATTGTTTCAAAATGTTAATTCCTAGTTATATTGTGTATAATGTAGGAAATAACTAATGTTATATTCTTCAGGCTATATTCTTTGAAAACAATCAATGTTCTAATACTGACTACTTTTTATGGGATTCTCTTCTATCAATCCTCATTGTAGCTCAGGTAAACTGGATTCTTGCTTATTCAATTTTCTAACATTTAAAACTCACTAGACAATCAAAATATTCAGAACATACTCTATAAAAACGGTTAAAAAGTCAATTATCTATATAAAAGGACAATAAACCAGTAAACCAATACGAAACAATATGTAAAGGATTGCACGCAGTTACTGATAGCTAACTCGAAGTACCGATTTAGAAATTGTTCACTCTAATATCGGCCGCTGTACCTCCGCAATGCAGCTATGCTTGACGAAGCGGATCTAGTCAGTATGATTCACTCCTTAACTAACTAACCCTGATTTCTGACAAATTTAAGTTTTAGAGATTAATTCCATCAATTTAAGAACCATGATTTCATTGTAAAAAAAAAATTTATATCAAGCAGCTTCTGTCAACATCGACTCAATAAAATTGAACATTCTGAAAAATTACTGTTCATGCCTCAATTAACTAGCTTCTTGTTATCATATTATATTAAGACTGTGTTAATCCATATATTGTAAACTAAACCACGTTCATGTCATGTCGCCCTACGAAAGATATTATATATAGATGGTAACTCTAGCGTTATAATAGATTTGTAGAGATTTGTGTGCAACACAATGTATATATTAAAGTAAATGCGTGATAACAAAAAAGTAATATTCATTATTGTGTAGTCTGAGAACTTGAGAAATGATATATCATGTGTGAATATGCACAATATTCAGTTTCATTTGTACATTATTTTCACTTTTGCATATATCCTTTCACAGACGTATGGATCAATATCAAATGGTTTTACTCAAGCCAACTCGTTTATTGTGCGTTAAATAAACGTAGGAGACCAGTATCAATTTGCAAGACGCGCGTTTTTAAGATAAAATTGATCAGGTACCATCCAGACATTTCCCTTGCAAAAGGCCATTTACAGACCTTTAACCGAGTTGTAGTAAGGGTTCTTTAACGAAAATAGAGCATGACTTTTCATTCCCACACGAGTCGTCAGGTATTAAGTCCATATTCCGACAGGACGTGTCCGGGTATGTATACATCCCGCAAAACAGAACAGATGATTCACTTAAGCGTGAGATTGACTACCGGATGAGAAGTCAATGTTTAACCATATTTATATACCCCGTGTAACCCTTTGGGTTAAGCATACATCCCACCCTGAAGTAATAAACAAAACTTTTATGTGTGAATAGAAAAGAGAGGAGAAAGATATTAAATGGACATGTAACACAATCATCGATATTGCATTTTTTAAATACACTATGTAAGTGATATTGTATACTGGCATTGACTAAATCCATAACACAAGTTATAATTTATCATTGCTGTTTCAGGAATAGACGTATTCGGTTCAAATCTTACACACGCCCAAAGTCTGAGCCAGCAAAGCCTCCACAAAAGGATGAAATTAATGATGAATTTCATGATCTAGGGGACTCTGATTACTCGTCTTCTGATTCTACATCCTCCGATGGTGAGTTGTTTGGTAACTACTTCTGTCTGGATTTGTAAATATGACCAGATTTTCATATCCGATTAATGTGCAAGGGAATAGCTACATGTGTACATGTTCAGATCTTCATATGGACTTGCAGGTTAAATCACCGCCTAAGCGTGTAGGTCTAGTACAGACATATTCATATCACAGTTAGATGCTTTCGTGTTAATACGTCTGTAACGGTTGCGACTGGACTTTAAACACAAATCTTTCCTCGTCTTTTTAATCATAGATATGGGAAATAAATCAGCACATATACATTTTATTCAATTGTTTATCTTCTGTTTTAAGAACCCTTGACAATTAAAGATCTTTCAGATTGAAAAATGTTGGCGCCAGTTTATCATGTTTATCATATACATTGTTTTGTTTTTTTCGGAATTCAAGGTGTTTTACTTTTGTACATACTAGTAGTACCTTTGACTCTTTCTCAGGCGCGTATCAAGCCATTTTTACCCTCCCCCCTCCCACTTTGGATCCGCCACTGCTTTCTGCATTCTTTTTATTCTTGTAACCATTTATGAACATTTTATTTGGATATGTTTTCAAATGTTGCATATAAAAGTGAATGTATATTTTATAGTTTGTATTAATGGAGAAAGTTTTCAACAACAACAACGATAATTTATTTCAAATTCATATTTAAACAAATCGTTTACAAATGAATACAAAACTAGCACTGGTATATAGTCGAAAATAGTAACACATGTTGAAAATGGATTGCCAATTCATGATGATAATAATATATCATTTTATAAATTTGTACGTAACGTAGTTTTACATGAGAATTACATAATTTTCGCATTTTTTTTACAACATAAAATATCCGAACTTTTCAGGTTAAAAGTACATAATAGCTATACAGTCAATGGTTTAATTTGTTGATTACTAACGACATTTATGTGAGGTCATGCTAACTATAAACTTTTATCAATAATGGAGGTCCCATAACACTTGAAACAGTTCAATCATCAAATTTTGGAGTGATGTTCATTTAAGTGATTGAATTGTATGATTTACAGAATTATTGTCAAAATAGAATTTAAAATGTTCACACCTATAATGAAATACAATCAGATTAACCTCGAAGTCCACAATGGGTTATAAATTTTAAAGCACTTAAAACGAATTTGATAAAAGAATGTTCAATTTCGACATGTTGATGAAATCAGCATAGTTATGTTAAATTGAAAATCGTCACCCTTCTTAACCCCTTCAAATTTAGATTACAGACTTATTCATTTAGAAAATATTACAATATCAAGACTCAGATACTCCTCCAAATAAAAAAGGAACATGTTATTTTATTCTAATTTGACAATTCTACTTTATCATATTGAATTTACTACTTTTCTTTTGCAGATGAGAACCAATCTTTATCCTTCCCCGGAAATCATTCCGTTAAACATACTACCGTACTATGTCAGCAGGTTTATGTCAAATCATGTCGCTATTTCGACAAAGTACCGTCTACCTACTTTTTTCGCCGACTTAAAAGAACACACATAGATTTATCGCATCACGGATTGGGCATCGATGGTGTGAAGTCAGTAGCAATAGCACTAGTGGTAGGTACACGATGGAGTGAAGTCAGTAGAAATAGCACTAGGGGGAGGAACACGATGATGTGAAGTCAATAGCAATAGCACTAGTGGTAGGTACACGATGGTGTGAATTCAGTAGCAATAATATCACTAGGGGTAGGTACATGATGGTGTGATGTCAGTAGCAATAGCACTAGGGATACGTATACGATGGTGTGAAGTCAGTAGCAATAGCACTAGTAATAGGTACACGATGATGTGAAGTCAGTAGCAATAGCACTACTGGTAGGTACACGATGGTGTGAAGTCAGTAGCAATAGCACTAGGGGTAGGTACACGATCGTGTGAAGTCAGTAGCAATAGCACTAGGGGTAGGTACACGATGGTGTGAACTCTATGGGTAGGTACACGATGGTATGAAGTCAGTAGCAATAGCACTAGGGGTAGGTACACGATGGTGTAAGTCAGTAGCAATAGCACTAGGGGTAGGTACACGATGGTGTGAACTCTAGGGGTAGGTACACGATGGTATGAAGTCAGTAGCAATAGCACTAGTGGTAGGTACACGATGGTGTGAAGTCAGTAGCAATGTCACAAGGGGTAGGTACACGATGGTATGAAGTCAGTAGGAATAGCACTAGTGGTAGGTACACGATGGTGTGAACTCTAGGGGTAGGTACACGATGGTGTGAAGTCAGTAGCAATAGCACTAGGGGTAGGTAAATGTACTGCTTAAAATTATTCATCGTGTTCCTTCAACCGAAAACATAATAATTATTACTTAAATCGGCTTCCTCCTCCAATAAAAACTGACCGCCACGAAATAGCACAATAGTGCTGAAAGTGACACTAAACAATTAATCAATCAATCAATCAATCATTAAATCAAGCACCGTTTTATGAATACAAATGTTGCGTTTAACTAGCTTGTTACAACTAAACGAGCCGGGTTTTTAACCCGAAACAATTTGCAGAGAATGAATTATTACAGATTTAATATTGATAAGACTTCACGACTGTCTGTGTGGATTTCATGCATACACTGAACACTATAATCACAGTATCAAAAATCGAATGTCAAATGTTATTTTTCAATTTCTAAAAAGATATGGTAAAAGACTTTTTAAAATATTAAACAATAAATCATCTTTTTCATTGGACATTTTTTAATCGACTGCCTGTATTATGCAATTTGTACCGCAATAACCCAACAAATCAGTCACTGCATCATATATCTTATACATTGATATTATTAATCAATTTGAAACCAATCGTTATTATTTATTTCATTTGCTAATTTTTTTTTTATTTCTAAAAGTTTTATGGTAAAAAAAAAATACAACACAGTACTCGACAAATCTACATCAGGGTCTGGATGGGGTTGACAGAATAAAGAATAATGTCAAAAATAGATAATGAATAAGGAAAAATGAGCAAAAAATATAAAGAATAAAGAATAATGTTGTGCAAAAGTATAATGAATAACAGTGCAAAATAAAAGAATTAGTTATAAAATACTGATTTCAGAAATGAACTATGTACAGAATAAAGTAATCATTTAATTACAAAAAAATGTCATAAGTAAAATCATTTACCTTAAAATTTTACAGAAAACGAATCATTTTAAAAGATAAAGAAAAATGCCCTTAAATTTAAAGAATACAGAAATTAAGGACCCCATCCAGATTCTCTTTGGTGGCGGTTTTACAGTTTAAACGAAAAAGTAAATAATAAGCAGAAATAATAAGGGAAGGCCTTGATGGGATTTGAAGAATACACAATAAGGTGCAAAAAAATAATAAAAAGAGAAAAATCAGCAAAAAAATTAAGAAGAGAGAAATAGAGGGTGCAAAAGTATAAACTGTGGAAAATAAAAGAATTATGTAATACAATACTGATTACAGAAATGAAAAATGTACAGAACAAAAAAATCATCCAATTACAGAAAATATTAATTTTAAAATCATTTTCTTAGAATTTTACAGAATAAGAGTTATTTTTAAAGATAAAGAATACAGAAATTATTGACCCCAGCACCATTCAGATCCTCATAAGATGCACCAACAGTATTGAAAAGATAAAATCATTATACATAAAAATGAAGACAGAAAAGTAAAATTTCAAAAAGAAAAAAAAATATTGACTGTTGACCGTTTTTGTAGCTATTGAGCATTTACTTCAATTTTTACAGAGTAATACAACGGTACAGCGACTGAACTTATCTAATAACGACATAGCCAGTGAGGGGCTGGCGCATATTTTAGAAACCTTGCAAGAAAATATTATTATTACTGATTTGGTAAGTCGCAATTTTATTCTTTTTAATCGCCATTCTTTCTCATAGGAAACAACCACACGCATTGCTTTTTTGAAATTCTAAAAATATCTGATTTTGGAAAATCATTTACCTAGAAAAAGTACACCGACCTTTCTTTATTCATCCAAGATTGAATTTTTTGGATATTTATTATAAGAGGAAATATTTAATTGGAAAAAAATGTATGTTTTGTAAATCATTAATTTGAAGATTATTTCATGATCTCTTTAGAATAGATACACAAAGTTTATTTCGTAAAACTGTTGAACCAATATACATTCCAGTGTTCGCAATGGAGGGTTCAGAAGAAATGGCAAAATTTGGCTTTGGTCAATGCGTTCCCGGGATTTGGGACATAATGATGTTTTCTACCAATTTCAAACGAAACCGGTATGGTTTCTTTATATATTCTCACCGAATCTTTATTAAAATCATGGTTCATCTACTTACCTTTATTCAGTTACACTCTGTGAACAAATTAAGTGTAGAAACAGTTGATCTCTCTCCGTCAGCAGACAGTTATGTCATGTCTTGGAAACTAATTTTTATAATAGGTATAAAGATGATTTTTAATTGTAGAATTTAAGTAACAATAACCTATCGTCAGGAGGTGCTGTGTTACTCGACGAATCCTTATCAAGTAACAGAATAATAACCAAACTAGATATATCTGGTAAGTTCAATGTAAGGAATAAGACAAGAACGGAAAATAAGGAGAGAGAGAGAGAGAGACAGAGAGAGAGAGAGAGAGAGAGAGAGAGAGAGAGAGAGAGAGAGAGAGAGAGAAGAGGATATTATGAAGCTCAGAACATTCTCAATGTAAAAAAAAATACTCTTGCAAAGTTCTTTTCTTTCAAATATACTGATATGTTCTGTCACTCAACAACCAACAGTGCAAACATCTCATATATCTTAGTGAACTTGAAATTAAGGATACTATCGAGAAGGTCTGATCCATATCGTGATCTTTTCACTATTGACACAGACGGACATCTTCAAACTAGAATCTATGACAAACGTAATGATTTCAACTTTCAAATTGCCAACTTTCCATTTCTCAGCAGTAACAAATCCTCTGCTTCATCACATGGCGTTTACGTACTACAGATACTACGTTACGCTCGTGCATGTTCACACTACAAAAACTTCATAAACAGTGGTGTGTTCCTTACACAAAAACTGCTCCAACATAGTTATGAGGAAGAACGACTGAAATCGACACTACATAAGATTCACGGCCACAATCATGAATTGGTTGACCGATACGATGTGTCAGTGTATAACTAACTAGCAGCAGGTTTTAACGGTCTTAGATCTTTAGATACCAGTAAAGTCGTATGATCTATAATTCTACTCATTGTGTCCTATTTTGACATTATTTTTGAGTTTGAATTTTCATCGCGGGTAATGCACACATATCAGGTGACTCTTACCCTGTCGACACACCCGATCTCGCTCCTTTTAGAGTGCATGCAGTTTCCTCAGTTTCTGTTTGTTACCTTGATTTGTCTCTTCCTTGTCGATTTGCGAGAGATTTGAACATCTGTAAACTACTGTCGATTTAATTCAACACTTATTGCGTTAAATAAAAAAAATCACCAAAAAGAAGAAGACGAAAATACACCAGTCAACTAAACAGTTCACAGAAAAACTAAATATTACGAAATTCGAAGCCCAACAAATACCGAGGGTACACCCAATGTTTCAAGTGGTTTAGTATAATAATTAGCAGTTTCTGCTTTTTAAGTGACATAAGTCGCATTGCCCGTGTTAAAACTGTGTTTATCGTACCATTGCGGATAGGTAGAAGTATCTAGTAGGCAAAACCTAAGACATTATCAAATGTATAAAACATCTAGAACATGTAAGTTTTTTTAACTATAAAATACAACATGGCAAAATGCGAATACATTCATATGACCGTTAGCAGTAAGTCTATAAACATGAGTATAAAGGACATTGTGAATTACGCTTTTGAGTAAATTCATACATTCACAAGTAAGTAACATTTATGATGTCTGTATCTCTATTTACGGAAATGTATTCAACCCTTATCACATGCATGCTTTATATTTTCGTATAGTAGTTTTTTTTTACTAAAATCCAAAGATATTACATAATAGAAAACGGCTTAACCTCTGTGTTAATTTTTTCTGTACGCTTTATGTCGCTATTTTGCATATGCAAGATTGTGTATACTATGGGTTGATTTTATTGAATTCCGTTAAGTTTTCTGTATTAATTGTACGTCTTCAATTTTGTACAGGATTTCGGTTTCTCTCTATTTTTCTTTGAAGCTTTGCAAAAGACAACAGCCCCTAAATATAGAGTATTCATATGATGAAGACATAATCTTTCAATCAGTTTAATTGAGGTCTGGAGCTGGCATGTCAGTAACTGCTAGTAGTCTGTGTTATTTATGTATTATTGTCATTTTGTTTATTTTCGTTTGTTTCCTATTCTGACATCGGACTCGGACTTCTCTTAAACTGAGTTTTACTGTGCGTACTGTTGTACGTTTGTTTTTTCTACATTGGCTAGAGGTATAGGGGGAGGGTTGAGATCTCAAAAAACATGTTTAACCCCGCCGCATTTTTGCGCCTGTCCCAAGTCAGGAGCCTCTGGCCTTTGTTAGTCTTGTATCATTTTTAATTTTAGTTTCTTGTGTATAATTTGGAGTTTAGTATGACGTCCATTATCACTGAACTAGTATACATATTTGTTTAGGGGCCAGCTGTAGGACGCCTCCGGGTGCGGGAGTTTCTCGCTGTATTGAAGACCCATTGGTGGCCTTCGGCTGTTGTCTGCTCTATGGTCGGGTTGTTGTCTCTTTGACACATTCCCCATTTTCATTCTCAATTTTATTCGTAGTTAAAACAATATTTCAAAGCATACGTTTCTCATCAGGGGGTTTGTACCTTTGTATCTATTTAAAAGGAAAAAGATCGATTATCTTTGATTTTAGCAAATATATTTTTTAATCCTCAGATCACTATCGTTTTTATCTGTTGACATTAGAAATTATCATTAAAATCCACCCGACTTTTCAAAACTGTTGTTTTCTCGGTCAGAAGACCGCAGTATGTAAGTTACAATACATTTCATGCTGGTTAGACTTGTATAAAGAACGAACTTCGAGGGAAGTGGTGATACATGTTTCCAGTTTTAATGAAATCTTATTTGGCATGAAAATTTACATTTAATGAACATGATTTTATTGTTGAATGTACATAGTGATATTGATTTAGTTATGAATTTGAAGTGTTATTCAATACATATGCAGGATATTACATTCAGTAATATATGTTTCTTTATGTAGCTGTGATTACAAGCATTTAAAACAATTTAATTGTAATTTGGAGGTTTTCCTTTGTTCGACGTCATTACTCAATTATTTATCATTTCATGATTTAACTAGTATATGATGCCTAAACATATATTTTGTCAAATTCAAACATACACAATGGGAATAAAACACAAAATCCTAGACAGATTATTTTAGATTCAATGTCTTGTGTTTGAAATTTTAAATTCAATACCAAATCAGAGATTCGAAATTTCAAGTTCAATATCAGAAAAATCAAGACAGAGGATTATGTATTTTTTTATTATTTTTTTTAAGGACTAATGAATTATATTTCTCATTTAAAAAAAGAAATTAAAAAAAATGCTCTGAAAATTAAATTGAAAACATAATAAAATATAAATGAGGCCACTGCATCACATAGAAATGTTGTAAGAGAAAATTGAACTACTTTTTTATAGTTTGCGATGACTCTTTTATTTTAGCTGTATTCTGTTTGTAATAAAGATAAAAAGCTTGATGAAAACAAAATTTCATTAATGTTAATTAGACAACCGTTTCTAGAATATAGTAATAATATGAACAACAACAAAAAATCGTGTTATAACTTTCTTTTCATTTAAAAGAAACGATAACATCAAGTTAGTAAAATATGTGCGTCTGAAACGTTTTTTTTTCTGGATTTACCTTCATCGGGAACACTCAAACCTAAAACTACTGAAAGTCATGTATGAATACTTGAAAACTTTAGGATCTTTTTAGGCTAAAGGAACATAGAAAGAATAGACAAAGACATCTAAGGTCAATTTTCCCTGATGGAGTTGAAACCTTTGTTTGTTAATAATTTCAAAATTCATTGATGGAGAATTTAAAAAAGGTATTCTATTCATCAAGTCAGTGCCGTAGAACTGACTAATGAGCTAATGATACCCTCGGGAATTAGCAGTCCAACGGCAGCGGTATCTAACTAATCCTTATAGGGAAAGGAGGTATGTGTAGATCAAATGCACATTGTTGCTTTCTGAACATATATGTTCAATTTGTTTCCTGTATATGTAAAACAAATAGCAAACAAGTCTGACTGAAAGAACAGCAATCCAATGTACCCCGCGTTGCACATATTTTATCTGTCCACTTGCAATAAATAAAACAAAATTCGTTTAACATTTTAATAGAATGAGATCACTTTCAATGTTATTTTCCATATATTTCTATTTCCAAGGGGAATAACTCCTGTATTATAGTTGGTCGCCACTCTTCTAGTACCTTAGTAATATAACTTCATAAAAATTCGACAACAAATGTAGGTGTGTGAATGCTTTCTTTGCAATGTTCAATATATATAACATTTCAAAGAGATATAACTGTTGTAAAAGTAATAGATCAGCGCTGATTTTCGAACTAAGCCAAAACATTGATGACTTAAACTTATGATACAAAATTCATAACAATCCTACAAGAAAGGTGTGATAATGCTTACAATGCAACTTTCTTTGAAATATTTTTTTCAAAGGGACATTACTTTATTGAAAAATATTTGATTTTCGTATTTGTCCTGGACAATGCTGATATAATCCTTTGATATAAATTTCATAATTATCTGATAATAATTGTACACTTAAGAGCCCTTACGATACAATTTTCTATAGAATTATATTTCAAAGTAGCCTATTAACTCCTTTTAAAATAGCTGTTTAGCACTGATATTCAAACTTGTCCGAGACAGTGCTGATATAAAATGTACACGTTATAGGACGAACGCACGGTATTTCTATGACCCCGCAACGCGTCGCTCGTGAGACAACAATTAAGACTAGTACAGTCCAAAATCAACAGGTATCCTGTAGATATTGAAAGTTTTATTTCGTCGAGTAACGGAGTTCAGCGACATGTCCTCGTTCACTGTGTATAGTACATTGTAAAGCCGGTCCAAGTTAAGAAAAAAGGGAGTTACGTTTCATTTTGTTTAAACATTGTATTAATGAAAAGAATGAAATGAAATTTTGTTCTGAATATAATTTTTCCAGTTTTATTTTCAGTTGACAAATTTCGTGTAAAATCGCAAGCCGTGATTTCTTTCAATTTACTAATGATTAAACAGTTCCTGGAACCTAATGAATAAAATTCATTTGAAACTAGTTGCAGTATTAATTAGATTTGTAAACCAAAGATGTAGAGAAATGTTTACATCTTATTTAATGAAGCCTGTCTTATTTAATTAGTTTCAAAATCTAAAAACATAACATTTGTTTGTAAACGAACCAGTCTTTTATTGATTTTGCCGTGATATTGAAAGGTTTGCTGGCATACATGATTTAGCAATGTATATGCAAACAATGTTTTGTAAATTTCGAATAATAGAGTTTTTA